TGAGGAGGCGGCCAAGCGAAAGGCAGCAGAAGAGCAGAAGAAGCAAGAGGCAGAGGCGAGACGACGTGTTGACCCCCTCTCCTGAGTATTATCCAGAATCAGTTGCTGGGGTGACCTGCACGGTCTTGACCGGGTCGGTGCGAAAGACTCTCCTTTTGCGGGCGGGTTCAACCCAAGACAGTGCCTAAAACATCCTTTATCCTGGGCGGCGGATGATCACCGGGACCGCGACATCGGATACTTGATAGACGGCCGCCTTTGATGATTTCTTGTTCGCAGGGCTGTGATGGAGTGCTGGAGTCTTGGCCGGAGCGGTGCTGCCCCTCGCGACCACGATAAATTAGAGCGATGGGAACTGTCTCCAATTTGACTAGCTTGCCAAAGGCATCGGTCGTCGGATGTAGTAGGCATGTCAACAACTAGCCACGTGTCAACTTGTCAACGGTGCACGAAGTTCACCTGTCCTGCATGGGCAGGGCATCTGAGCAGTTCCTTGGGTTGACTGCTCTTTTTCGAACTCTGGGACCTGGCACAATCGATCAGCTGGTGTGACTGGTGTTTGCCTCTCTGCACATACGTTTGTCGAAGTCGCTGCTGACACTATCTTGTCAAGGCCAAGAAAGCCGCGGAGGAGAAGGCAGCAGCAGAAGCGAAGCAGGTGCGCATGACACTGCGGTATTCATCGGTATGGCCCGGCTGCATGTTCAAGCGAGTTCCCTCCTAACGGCGGTGCACTGGGTGTCGTGCGACAGATAGCTTGTGACTCGTTGTCCGGGATGGCAGTGACAGCAGATCCCCCGCCTCTTCTGAATTTCGCTCGAGCAGTCCAAGCGCAGGCACGTGAAGAGAAAGCGAAAGCAGAGAGAGCAGCTGCAGAGGCCGCCACAGCCCGTTTCTTCTGCGGGGAAGGTGGCCTGTTTTTGACTCTCTTGCGGATTTCGATGCCAGGCGAAGAAAGCTGCAGATGAGAAGGCAGCCGCAGATGCCAAGAAGGTTCCATGTGGGTTCGGGACATGTCCCGGGAAGGAGTTCGCATCAGACAGATTGATTCTACTCGGCATCACTGCTACTGCTGCGATCATTTTATCAGTGCCGTATCATTGGCTGCAGCAACTTGGAATAACGGAATATCCTGATCCGATGTTTCGGCACGGGTAGGTGTAGGTGAGTGCGTGGTGGTGCATTTCAGAAGGTTTCCTGCGAGGGTTTTTCATTTCGGGGTCGAGGACACGCACACCATGTTCTCGTTTTGCTGCCGGGGCTACTGCAAGCCCCTGATTTAAGAGAGATAGAGCAAGGGACCTGCTGTCGAAGTGGTCTGGATTCAAGCGCAGGCACGTGAAGAGAAAGCGAAAGCAGAGAGAGCAGCTGCAGAGGCCGCCACAGCCCGTTTCTTCTTCGGGGAAGGTGGCCTGTTTTTGACTCTCTTGCGGAATTCGATGCCAGGCGAAGAAAGCTGCAGATGAGAAGGCAGCCGCAGATGCCAAGAAGGTGCCATGTGGGTTTGGGACATGTTCCATCACTGCTACTGCGCGGTCATTTCATAAGTGTCGTATCATTCGCTGCAGCAACCTGGAGTAACTGAATATCCCGATCCGATGTTTCGGCACGGGTAGGTGTAGGTGAGTGCGCGGTTGTTCTTGTCAGACAAGTTTCCTGCGAGGGTTTTTGATTTCGGGGTCAAGGACACGCACAACCTGTTCCCGCTTTTCTGATACCTGTATAGCTCCTTTGGCCGATCATGATCCTCTGTACACATGATCCCTACTTAGAGTTTGCAATGATCTTTGTGCTTTCGTATTGCATTTTCGAAAGGGCAAAGATAAGCCATCAGGACTACAGGGGATATGTCGTCAGGCTGCGATGAAAACTCGGGGGAAAGCCCTCATGATGATGATGATGATGATGATGATGATGATGATGATGTAATTGTTGGGTTGTATACGTAAGGTAGTAGCTCCTTGTCTGCTATGACTTCACACCATCTTTGTGTTGAGCTGAAAGATTCACTCGGAAATACTTGCCACAGAGAAGTGATCCGTTGGTCTGCAATGAACTTGCGTACATATGTTTGCTCCTAGGGGCTCTCAGTGAGTGTTGTGCAACTGTTTTACATCTTGATACAAGAGAGGCAAAACCTTTTCAACATGCTGTGGGGGTAGAGCTGCCACTTGTGGGAAAGCACTGTTCAGTTGCTAGTTGTTATCGTGATACTTCGTTGTATGTTGATGCTTCTCCTGCGAACCATGTTGAATCCAGCCCCCCTCGATCAAGCTGATTTGTAAAGGTCGGGGGATCGATTTGTAAGGATTCAAAAATGGCGAGCACACGATGCCCCTCGCAACATGTGCTGAAACTGCACTGGCACAATCTGGCTACAGGGGGACGTCACTAGCCTTTGTACTGCGCACGCTTTTTTTCTACTTATCGCTGGATTTCCTTCTGGTAATCAAAGGCATACTTGACGTTTTGCCATGCATGTGTCTCGAGAGAGTGTACGATCATCAGTCTTTCGTTATCGTAAACTTTATGGCTTTAGCCACTGATGATCTACATTCGCTGCTCACTCTCCTTTACCCGATAAAATATCGGCTGGGCATGATGCCCGGGGGCTTTGACAGGCCCCTGTGCCCGAGAGCGAGAGAGAGAGAGAGAGAGAGAGAGAGAGAGAGACGGAGTGTGTGCAGCCAAGAGCACGGTGCAGACTTAGTATTCTTGTGCAGAAAGACAGTGAGAGAGAGCGAGAGCGAGAGCGAGAGCGAGAGCGAGAGCGAGAGCGAGAGCGAGAGCGAGCGAGACTGTGTGAGTCTGCGCGCTTTCTTCGTTCAGGCTTGAAGGCGTAGGGGTCGTGACGGCAATGAAGCCACCAGCCGGACTTTGTGCACTGTTGGCTTTCCTGTGTTTGTAGGTTTTCAGAGACCACATCACTGCTGTCAATGTGGTCTGGATTCAAGCGCAGGCACGTGAAGAGAAAGCGAAAGCAGAGACAGCAGCTGCGGAGGCCGCCACAGCCCGTTTCTTCTGCGGGGAAGGTGGCCTGTTTTTGACTCTCTTGCGGAATTCGATGCCAGGCGAAGAAAGCTGCAGATGAGAAGGCAGCCGCGGATGCCAAGAAGGTGCCATGTGGGTTCGGGACATATGCCGGGAACTTCAGTTTTGATTTCTGAACGGACATGACCTGACTTTTCAGACGGGGTTCACACGGGAAGTTTCGTCTCGCAGCTGCTCCGGCGGTCGCGACCAAGTCAACATGTGAGAAAGTCCAGCAGGCGGCGGAAGCAAAGGCAGCTGCCGAGGCCCTGCAACCCAACTGCAAGCGACGTACCTCCCGTGTCTTAACGATCCTAACGCCACTGGTCGCAGGCAAAGAAGCCTGCTCGCAGCTCCAGCGCGCCGGCGAAGGTCGGGTTTCCAGCTCGAACGACAGTCTGCATTGAGTCTGCATAAGTTAGCCGGCTTCGGCGGTAGCTGTCGAAAAGCCATTGCTGATAGGCGACGCAGTGCAGTCAGATGATTCTGTTTTTTTGGCAGGTCAAGAAGCCTGCCGACGTGGTGCCTCGGCAGGGTTGGTGATGTGCTTCCTTCGGGTTCGAACCTCTCAAACAAAAAGACAAGATGGCTTGTGTCGCTCTGGATGCAAGGAGCTGGCCGAGTCATCTACGCGAAGGCTGAAACTGAAGGAGAAGTACAGCAAGGCGCACTCCCGTTGGGGGCCTCTCACAAGAGATCGACAAGCTCGAACGCTGCACAACTTGACTGACATAGCTCACAAAATAAGACAGCGATGCCTTGGAATGAGCACAGAGCTCGTCCGCTCCCGGATCTTCCGCCAGGCCCTGCAAGAAGTCGACCAGAAAAAGAAGGAAGCAGAGGCGGCTTCGCCACGCCGCTACACACCGGTCTCGTGGGTCATGTCGCGAGGGGAGTGGTTGCTTCATCACCCGCAGGGAAAAGACAGAGATCTGATCAATCAAATTTCCGGTTTGGACAGCAAGATCAAGAAGGTGGATGAGGAGTGCCCTGAGGATGGTTATGACATCATCCCTATCGCGGGAATCGTTGCCATGCTCCAGTTTTGTGGTCCGATGTTGCCGGTCCTTGCTGCAGCTGTGGCTGGCCAGGTACAAGAAAACAAAGGGATCCAGCAAGGATGCCAAGCTCAAGGATCCTCAAATCGGGCTGTGTCAGTCGCACCCTTGCCTAAGTCGTATGCCTGCATAGATCCTGTATGTAAACCGTATTCTAGTCACTGTTCGTACGGTCATACCAGGACGGGGGGAAGCTCGGTTGCTTCCCGGTGACTTTGTGAATTTGTCCCGGAGTTGCCGTGTTCGGGCGCTGACAACAGACCGTTAGGAGCTGAAACAGCTCCGAGATCAGAGAGTTGCCGTGGACAAGCAGAGGAAAGCGGTCGAGGCCAGAGCGTTCTAGCTCTCGCTGGCTCACTTTCGCTCTCGCTCTCGCTCTCGCTCTCCCTCTCGCTCTCTCTCTCTCTCTCTCTCTCTCTCTCTCTCTTAGCTCTCACTCTCTTTCTTTCTGGCTTTCTTTCTTTCCGTCTTTTTGTCTGAGTCCATCTCTTTCTGGCGGTCTCTGTGTCTCCTAGCTCTCCTTGGCTGGCACGGTGATCGCTTTGAGGCTGCTTTGGTTGACCAGAAGCGTGCCACCAACACCGCAAAGAAGGTGGGCTTGCAGAGAATTTAGAATGCTGACACCTCCTTTCATGTACTGCACAATTCATGTGCCCTGTAAGTCTGCGGATGTTTCGTTCTGTGAGAAGCTTGCTGTTGCCGCTTGGGCCCACAGCTCTGCCACACCTGTGGACTACCGGTCTGCTAGTGGCTTGGCAGTTTTCGTGGAAATCAGTCCAGGAAGGGCTCTCACAACAGCTCGCCTCTAAGGATACAATTCCCATTCGACCAATTCAGCACATGGGCTTGGTGGCCCGAGGTCGGACGGAACAACAAGGAAGGGGGTTCAGTCTCTCTTCAGTTTCCGCTCTCTTGCCCCAGGCATTTTAATACTCCTGGCCTTGCATGCGGTCTCTGCATACCGTTTCGACACCCAGTGCTGGCCACAGCGATGACGCCGAGGGTGGGGTCTGAGGGCTTTCGCAGCTCCCAGGCCTCGACAGGATGAAGTCAGGACAGCCTCGACTAGTAGGACGGCTAGGACCGCTAGGATGTCTGAGTCTCTTCAGGCCAGAAGGCGGTCACAGGTCGGTCGGAATAAGCCTGCGCTCTTCAAAGTCATGGCAAACACGTAGCAGGACCAGCGAGGCGTTGAGAGGTGCCGCGCGCTGCCAGCCCCGTGCTCAGTCATGGTAGGTCGTTGACAGGGGTTGTGATGCATGCGGCCGGCATTGCCCGGACTTAAGTAATTGAGATTGATGATGCCTCACTGCTAGTCAGCTTGTCGATATGTGTTGCACTAGCTCAGTCTGCTCAGCCGCTTTTACAGTCCGAATATGTAGTAAAAGTGTATCTAGCAGGGCTTTGCCGAACACCGTAATGGAAATCAAGGCCTCCGGGATAACGCAAGCAGCTAGGCAACAACTAGCGATCGGCACAACTGAGATGGTCGGTACCAAGGTATTCCTCTTTCCCCTCTGCCGTGCCGTCTGGTCGGCCTCCTTTCAAGAGCAACCAGGCATAATCGATTCCTGTAGGCCTTCGTATTTTTAAGGTGCTCGTCTGCTCCCTTTCTGAGGCTTGATCGCTCTTTGTCCCAACAACGAGCTCAAGTCAAAGTGTGCCCACGAAGCTCGATCTAGCGCATTCCGGGTCGTTGCAGCTTGGACTCTGCCCAACTCGTTAGTTCCATCCGAGTCACGGGCCTCATCGGTACGAGTAGGACAGCTTGTGAGGTCGTACCGCAGAAATCGCTTGGAATAGCAGATTGCGAGAACTTCTGCAGCGCGATGCTCGCCTTCAATCTGACACCAAGTTTCGCTCGTGCTCGCGCCGACAATCTGAGTTTGATCGGTTCAGGAACTATGCCATGGAGAGTGATGGAGGTAGGTGCTTGGGCTACGTCGTTCGCAATCCCTTCAACGACAAGGTCGAGAAGGCCTGGCTTCTACCCTGTTTGGCGGTTGCTTTTACTCGTAGCTCGGATCTTCCGACACAGCCATATCAGTGCCTTCTTTCGCCGGCACGGTTGCCCTCTGCCCTGCTACTCCGCCCTCCGCATATCTGGAAGAAAAACGAAGGGAGACCGTAACTGAGCGACCGTAAGTCGTAAGCGCTTCTGCGACGAGCACGGCAGCTTCGGCGCATCCTGCGACAGCTCTAGGCGAGTTCAGAGGGATCCATCACATGCTCAGGGCAAGGCGCAGTGCTGGCTGATCCGCGGCAACGCGGAGGTCTCCGGCAGCCATCCGGATGAGGTGAAACTCGAACCTTGGCCCGGACGCCCTCCTCGGCCCCCCGGCTTCTGGTTTCCGAGAGCCAAGTCCGCCAAGGACAGGGAGAGCTATAAGGCCAGCAACCCGAAGTTGACCTTCGTCAAGGACGGCGGTACACGGACCTTACGGAATCTGTGTATTTTTCCGCTTCAACTGCCAGTTGTCCTTCCGAAGGAGTACTGTGGCTGCGAAGCTCGGTATGTGCACTTCGTGCGACCAGCTTCTCAGCTGCAGCGGACTTGCAGCGACTGAAGCAAAGGGCCAAGGGCCGAGACGTGTCCTCTCTGTGGCCGAGGAGTTCCGCACTGAGCTGGCGGTGAAACGGCATCGACTTGCGCTTCTGCGAAAGGCCCTACAGGGCCTTGCAGTAGGGTTGGCGTATGGAGGGGCTGCATATCTGCAAAATAGACTTGCAGCGTGTTTCAGAAGCTGATGCAGGAAGATCCACTCTCCAAAGAGCTGACTGAACTCAGCAAGAGGGCCAGCGACTTTGAGCCGACTTGAGACTTTGAGCAGCTGTGTAGTAGACTTGGGCAGGTTGGAGTGCTCGAAAAGGAGGAACAGCGGTACGAGCGCCTGGAGAAGTTCGAGGGTATTTATGATTGGCTGCCGCCTCTTGGTGGCAGATGCAGTGGACCAACCGCGTGCCTAGCATGTGTTCAGCATGCGGAAAACGGAGGCTTCGTCCTCCACACAAGATTTCCAAAGGTCCTGGTCTCGGATCCCCGGTCAGGCTGAAGCACTGAAAGATGAAGCGCTTGGTCTTAGTCTTGTCAGGATTGGAGCGGATTTTGCCCAATTGGTTGATCCGGAGCATGAAGCCTACTCTGATCAAGAACCAGGGCATCCATTACTCGACAGGGGTTGTCCAAACTTTCTGCTTCTTCGTGCACTAGTCAACTTGCAGCAGTGCATTACGCCCTGACGGCATTTGTGGTGCGTCGCAGGAACTACTGGCATGCTCCTGTGCGGATTAGTTTCTCGGCTCAATTGTACTTTCGAGAGCACCTCACTCCATGTTGTGTCCGAGTCGTCGTGTAAGTGCTCCATGGAAGTGGCATGAGCTGCATGAGAGCTACGTGCGCATGATTGCTAGTCACCCAGGCAAGATCTTCAAGAAGTCCGACTTGTCTTCCTTCCTCTATCGGTGCTTGGACAAGGAGAGCCGCTCTTCTGAGAAATGGCTGCTTGAGAGATGGGCGCTAGAATGTGATTTCACGGCCGACTTTGGCTTTCGTGCTTGTTGAGGTGACACAGAGAACTGGTACCTGGCGACACAGGGGGACCCCATTACCTGGGCGAGCAGAACTTTTGAGGACCTCGCGAACCAAAGCAGTGGTCTCAGAACCGCAGTGGTGAGGCCAGCCGATGCTGCGGTCGCCGAGGTGAGGAAGATGTGAAAGAAAAACTCTCGGACCGGCTTTGCACACCATTTGTTTGACAGTTTGGAAGCAGGCCCCAGGCTGGGCAGCCCCTTGTGGGCTTTAGAGGCGGTATGATGCGTCGGTTTACGCTGCCGGCCCGGAGTTTGTAATCGCTGGGACACTTGACGCTTTGTATCCTCGCAGGACGAGACATTCATCCAGAAGATCTTTTTCCGCATGGAGTGCGTGGGTACGAAAGTAGAAGATGACAACATGGTGCACATCCAGGCTGAGCTTATGGCTGGCTTCGATGACAAACTGTGTCCAACAGATGCAGGCAGACGGAGAGCCGCTTGGTGCCTGGCTGGACGAGCACTTTGTCTCCAGCTACGAGTTCCCAAAGGATCCTGGAAGCATGGTTCGCGCCCACCTGTCGTTGCGTGTCACCATTCCACGTTGCAAGTGTAAACCTGGGCACAACTTCAGGAGAGACTGAAAAAGACCATTTCCTTGAAGACACCGAAGGGGTGCTATCCGACCAACAAGAAGGCGCAAGTGCGGAACATGGATGTGCAGAGCTCGTCCTGACGAGACGCTGCTTCCACATTCCGACTTGTTTTTTTTTATAGACAGCCTCATGACTCATGACTGCTGATCTAATCTCTGACTTGATTTTCTCAGTTTTCTGAGAACTGGAGGCTGAGGAGGCAAGCGAGAAGCAGGCAGGTTTGACGTGCTGCAAAACCGTTTCCTTTTGGCGGTCCAGTTTTGCATGTGGGAGCATGTGGAGGTCATCGAGGAAGTCGGGGCGTGCCCTGTTGCCGCCCTGACGAAGCCTGCCAACGAGTCGATGAGCCCCGGCACTTTGCTGAGCTGTGCTTTGGACTGCCACGTCTCGCCAAAATTCCAGGATCGGGCTCCGGACTTTCTGGGATGATGATGCTGGCACCATGGAGAAGATCGGAGCCGCACAGTGGTTCATCGTTGCTTGGCTGGGCTCCTCGCGATCTGGCCGCAAGCAAGAGCTTTGCTGGACCTCAGGACACCATGAACAAGAATCAGAGAATAAGCGGCACCGTCTTCACTGTCGCGAAGTGGGTTAGCAAAGGACTTGGTGGGCCGTTTGGACAAGTGAGCTGTTGTTACCCGAAGTTGGGCTCCGTCACCTGAAGCAGGAATGAATGCTCTTTGGGGCGGCAAGGAGGAGCCAAAGGAAGAAAAGGTTGCCGGGAACTTTGGACTGGGCATCGGTTGCAGCTGGACGGCCCTGTGTGGGACGACCAAGGCGAAGTGGACTGACTTCAGCAGCCATGAAATCAAGGCAATGCTGGAACGGACGACCGTTCTGCTGAAGGGGCTCCATGCCTGCAGACGACGTTCCGCAGCAGTTTGCCGCACTGCCGGGCATCCAAGGATATCCAGGCTCTTCCTTGTCATGGAGGCAGCATCCAACACGGAGGATATGCAGATCAAGCTGGTTGCCCTCCCCAAGTTAGGGCAGCTAGGGCTGTTGTGAGTAGGCGTGAGATGTGAGACGTCAACGTGGAAGTCAGTGGGATCTGTTTATGTGGTGCTGAGGTTTGCGCAAAGGAGGTGTTGGACAGCATTTTTGAAGTGGGTGGCTTGCTGCCCAAGGTACCTGAGCTTTTGTAGCCCTGCGTAGAGCTACTTAGATGCCCTTCCAGCGCGACCAAGGTGTCACAGAACTTGGCCATGCGACCAGATCTCGTCAAAGATGACTTCGTCCGCAATAAGCTGAAGGCCTCGCCAGCCTGCCTTAAAGCACGAAAGGTACGTTCAGGGTGTGGGCCGGCTGCAGTGGGCAATGAAGACGAGTCCGGGAAACTGCTGCAGTAGCCAGATTGTCTCCGATTGTCGCTATGACTCGTCCGCATGCGAAACGGTGCATGCCGTGTGCTCCCGCGGTTCGACGCCTGTCCGCGTCTCCTGCAGCAGCAAGCACTGTTGCAGCGCAGGAGACTCAAAACGCCAATCCCTCGAGAAGCGAAGAAGAAACCCTAGCTTATTTGTTGGACGCCCAGATACCAGCAGCTCATGTTGGTGCTGCAGGTCATGCAAGGTGTATGATAAAGCTTCGGATGCATCTCTTGGATCCACCGAGGGAGAAGCACGCGCCGCAGATCTCCATCCCGGGGTTTGAGCAGACGGTGCCTTTGCTGAGGCTTCTCAAGTACGAGAAGGCCCCAACAAGCTCATCTTGGAATGGTCAACTCTGAGCCCTCTTTGTCACCTGCGCCAAGAGGCTTTAAGTGCGGGTTCCGTGGGCCAAGTGGACCTCTTCCGAATACGGGATGGCCCGGAGGCGGTCCAGTGGACGCAGCCACAGTGGCCGCACTAATGTGAGTCAAATCTTGTCTTGCAGGGCCTGGACTCCGTCATCCGCGGCGAGTTCAAGAACATGCTGCCCGAGGGCCACGGTGATGTGGTGATTGTAAAAACCGTCTTTGAGGAGACTCTTCCGGCAGTGATCGGGCCGGCTGACCGACATGTTTGCTTTTGCCAGTCAGGAGACCGAGGCCGAATACAAGAACGACTGGAACTTGCTCGAACAGTTCTTCACGAATTTCAAGGATAGCCTGGCAGCTTCGATAGCACACAGACTGCCCCGCCCCAGCTGTAGCAAGTGATCTCCGAGATCTCCGAAGTGGTGGGGCCGGGGCCGGGGCTGCAGCCAAGGATGCCTCCCTGTCGGTCATGTGGAAGATCCTGTCACCCATGAAGAAGTCCATCTTCGACGAGCTTCTTGACAGCGACAGACATTGAGCCCGTGAAAACTCTGTGCTGCGCACGTGAATTGCCAGGTTCGACTTGAGGCGCAGCCCATGGACTCACCGGAGTTGTGGCAGTTTGCATGGGCAAAATATCCTGCTCTGTCAGGGATGAGGCGAAGTTCACCATGAGGGGGACTCCGGGCAGCAGACACTTGTTGAGAAGCAGTGACTTGTTGTTTGATTTCCCTGGGTCAGGAAGGAGATGCTTGCAGAATTCACGGAGAACATCAACAAAGGCCCAACCGTTCCTGAATACTGCTGACTGGAGCGCAGAAGTGTCCAGGCCTGTATGAGCCCACACTTCGTCCACGCAGCCTCACTCTCACCACTCCGAATGCTGCTCCTCGGATCAGATTCGTAACATTTCGGTTTCAGGGCCAGTTGCTGGTGACCGTAAATGCGTTCTTGTCAGGTGGCAACTTCGTCGAAATACATTCTCATCCAGATCCTTAGCGGATTTTTAAGCCCAGCTTTCGAAGGCGCAGCATTCTTTCATTCTCTCCAGGTCGCTGGCCTCTGGCACGCCTTTGAAGAACTTCCTGGAGAATAGACCCCCGGCTTCGCTATGCTTAAGCCTACTCTGCGCATGTGCTGCCAAGATGAACTTCGTGTTAGTGTTCTCCAGAAATTTGTATCTGCACATCTCAGGTAATGGTCAGATGGAGCCCCTTGTGCAATGGCGTCAGGGAGTCTACTCTGCAATCTTGATGATGCTCGGCGTGCCATGGAGGGAAATCTGTCTTGGAAGCTTCTGACACCACTGTGGGGCCGGGCCTGCATGGCTCAGGGTGTATGGCCACATGGTGGTAAAGCACGGCTTCTTCCAATCGGATCCTCACAATGGCAATTGGCTGCTCAGCCGAGAAAGAAGGGCCGCGCGCTTGGGAGCCGCCCTTTGAGCCTCGGCTTTTCATCTCCAGGTTCTGGGAACCTGACAGCCGCACGGTGACCCTCATCGATTGGGGAGGCGTGGGCCAGTTGGCCCCAAGGCTGCAAAAAATGGGAGTTCTTGTCCCCAGCTGCTCGCCAGCAGAAGCTTGAAGGATGATGACACCCACTGCAAGCTGGCCAATCTGTACTCTCACATGGGCAGTTTGGTGAAGGAGGGGAAGGGCGGTCTGACAGGTTACTAGCAGGTTCACTCATCAGATTGCCAAATTGAAAGAGTTGCGTTGAAGGACTGGAATGACTGCGAGTCTGTGGAACTGGGTGGCGCCGATGAAATCGCCGGGGTCTACCATCGCTCAGGCAACAGCGGCGGCGACTGTTTCTGATGCAAATTCTTTGCTTGGAAGCTCCTTGCAAGGATTCTCTATATATGAGGCGAATGAGAATCAAACAGCCACTTGGCATCCGTAGCTCGCACATTTGCAACGCAAGATGCACAAGGAACAGGGAAGATGATGCACAGTCGGGGCATGATTCGCACAGGCATTACTTCTGGGCTACACCTATGGTGTGGCATACTACAACGAGGAACTGGGCTACAGGTCTTCCTTTCAACTGGCTGCCTGGGATGTGGGGTGTTCACCGCGAGCCAGGTTGTTCTTCAGTGGTGGAACCACGTGGAAAGTGGTTTTGGAATATCCTGGGCGCCAGGACCGAAACGAGATCGACGTGAGTTGAAGTGCCAGTCAGGGTCCACCTCTTGGAAGGAGCTCTACACCACGCTGGCAGTGAACTTGATGCATTTAAGAACGGCCCGTCTCGGATGCTCCGCTCCATAACTCACTGAGGAACTGGACACCAAGATAGGCGACATAGACCGCTTGGCCGCGCAACCTGCGCAGCGATGGAAGATCTTCAAGAGCGTGGCCGGGCTGCAGCTATTCCGGGGGGTGTCGGCTAGTGCCTGAACACGCCGAGGGAAGGCACAAGAAGAACGTGGCGGTCACAGTGAAAGTGTCCGATCCTGCCGTCCGCTGCCCCCCGACTTCAAGGTATCGCCGCATCCGAGCAAAAGTGCAGCTGGATTGTTACTACGCTTTGAAGTCGTCAACCTTTGTGTCCTCCCCGTCCACGTCGCTGTTGTCTTCAGGACTAGGGACGTGCTCTCCGGCGACGAGTTTCGATGATTGTTTGGTTGTCAAGTCTTTGTCACAAGTGGCGACATTGTGCATATTTCGTTTCCTATCCACTGCGAACCTACTTCGCGAATTTGGATTGCAATGACAAGTTGTTCAAAACGAGTGCATTGGAATTGAGGCGGCCTGCCGTCGCGCAAGCAGGCACGAGGGAGCGCTCCGGAGGGACCTTGGGAGGTTCTTTGTGTCCTTGGAGGCTTATTCCCAAGCCGCTCGCAACATGGGCTTGGGCCTGAACTTCGACTGCAAGGCCGAGGCAAGGCCGAGCTGGAGAGCGCCCAAAGGGCGCGGTTCTTCCGGGGTCCCACACGCTGTACACGCTGTGCTCGGCTGCGAGGACACAGTCCTCTTGCCCGAAGCGCCGTTGGCGCAGGCTTTCGCACCTAGCACCTAAAGAACCTTTACTTGTACTGGTTAGTGGTCAACGAGAGCGTAAGCAGGTTGAAGATCTGACGAAATGGAAGGACAATGGCAAGAGGCAGTTAGGCTTCTTAGCTGCATCTGAGCTCCTGACTATGTTTACGAACCTGTCCGGAATCATGCCTCAAGAGCTAAGTGAAGCGGCGACATGTCTGAGGATGCATCAGCAAAACAGAGGAAGAAAACTTTGTCTGGTGGGGCATCTTGGATGCACCTTCAAGCCAACCGCCTTCTGCAGGGATTTCTTCGTGCAGAGCGGTACGCCACGAGAGCCTAGCAAAAAAAGAAAAGAAGCATGGGTGACTGTATATATGAGTCTCCGAAGACATACCAGCGATGTAGAGGTCGGGCCAGCTAGCCCTGGTGGGGACAAACAGCGATTATCTGGGCTTCATTGAGCATACAGCTGGTGCATGAGCACAGGCGACCAATCCAATCCATGAAGTCGGTCAGTGTTTTGTAGACAGCAGTGCAAGGACCTAAGCTGATTGCTGATGAACTTGCAGCTGCTTGTAGTCTTCTCGTTTTCGCGCGCCGTCACGACTGTGGTAGTGGTGCTGACTTTGGACAAGGAAGTGCCGCATTTGGCAGACGCACGGATTCATTACACGCTTGTCTAGCCGCGCGGACGTAGCAAGAACCCAGCCTGCGGCAGTATGTTGCAAGTTCAACTGGTTCAGTTACTAACTCCAAAGGCGTTCACGATCCCTTCAAGCTTCGGGTGCAAACTGACGAGAATGGCCACCGCCACTTGCAAGCACAAGTTTCGCATAGCCCCAAGCCCTCTGTCCGTGTACTTTGATTCCGCTTGCCTTCGCCCAGGCTTCGTGAAGCTTGCCAGCACCAAGTGGGACCTCGACGCAGACCCGGCCCAGATCCACGCCACGAGCCCATAGCCCGGAGACCATCGTGGCCTGGGTTGGAGCCGAGTGAACGGTCCCGGTCCCGGCGTAGGCTGGGTGAGCGATGTCTTCACGGCAGAGAGCAAATCTGAGCTCGTCAAGTTGAGCCCGCCCAAGAGGAGCCCGAAGCCACGACACAAGACGAATCCCTAGGCCCACAAGGCTTTAAGCTTGTCATGTAAGCATACGCAAATCTCCTGGGCATGTCACTGGCTGCTCGTCTGTTTATGACTGAGCCTCGACACTGCTCACCGTCTCTGCTGATGGTCGCCAACTTTCGGTCGTGCCCGTGGTGCTCCGCCATGGTTCTACCGTGCCGTGTTTCGGTCCCGAGTGCTCAGTCGTTTCAGTCAGAACGAAAGTCGCACGTCGCCGTAACCCGGCTGGATGACCGGCATCGCTCCCACAGCTTCTTCCTCTCGGTCTCTCTGTCTGCGTGAGACATTCCATGAGACATTTTCAGCTTATGGCAGCAGCTGCTGCGAAAGAGGTGGCACGGCATGTCAGACAGAAAAAAGAAGGGTGGTAGATTCAAGCACCCCGCCTCTCGCAGGAGTATGCTGCTCGATGCAGTATGCAGCCTCAGATTCGTTCGTCTGTGCCGCAGGTGATTGACAAGTCACACGGGCCGAAGAGCGTCCTTACATGTACCGGTTCGTATGTTTGGACTGTATGGTCACCGAGGCGCAGAACCAGTTGGCTCTTGCAGCGTCGCCCTTCGACTGAGTTTGTCAGACCATGGTAGACCGATGTTGCAACTTGTGTGGGGACCGGCGTAACCAGCGGGACCAAGAGTCAAGAGAAGCGAATGTCTGAGGCTCTACGACTCTGACCTTCTCCTCGCGGCAGTGCTAGGCCGGCATCCGGCGGCTCTGGAGCTGGTCGGCCTCAGACGTCTCGCTTTCGAGGCATTGCGGCGAAGACTTCCGTGGGACTTGTCTCGCCGGACGTCCCAAATGAGTACGTTCTCCTGGCCCGGTGCATCGTGGCCACGAGCTCAGAGCAAGCATGCAGTTCCAATGCTGCTTGGCACACCTCTGTGCGAGTTTGTCACGGAGTCAGGATCGCAAGCTCCCAGTATGACCCAGGTCTTCCACGGAATGCTGGGTGACGTTGTAAAGGAGAACTTCATGAGGCTGATAGTCTCCGGGCAGCAGGCCCTGTCTCCGAATGATATTATCTGGTTGTCTCCGGTGCAGTATTCAAATTGACGAGGACTACCTCCAGTGGCTTCTTCGTCCCAGCGGCGATCGCTTCTTCCGATCTTGGAAGAAGCCGGCATTGGCAACTGGGCCTAACTTTGGGCGTGTTTTTTTGCTGGGTATGGAGAGAGTGTCTAGTTCCTTGATTCTGGCTAGTTCATGATCATTCGGCCAAGGAGTATTTGGAAAGCCACCGAGAAAGCTGCAGCAGCGAGGATCGAGTTATAGCCTTGCCGTCGGATGCAGCTTTCTTATGCCCCTTGCTGCATTTTGTCGCAGGGCTGGAACCTCAGAAAGAAATGAGGGCCGCTAAGTCGGCCGATCTGTGCGTGGCCAAATCACGGCTTGCAATTTTCCGTCCTGTCTTCCAGTGAGCCAGGATTCGATGCAAGCTGATAGCTAGATAATGATAGTTGCCCACGGCTGGCGAGCTGTCCATGAATTGCTGGCAACCGGCCTTTGGAGCACGCTTGTGGCACGAGTGTCACAGTACCGTGTTAATGCAAGCAGCTACCGTTCTATGTCAGAGGATGGTCGCCGTGCATGCATGGACTGCTCGGAGAACATGCTGAGCAAGCGCATCTGGAACCGTAGCTTCATTTTACCTCGCCCGCTGCACCTAGCAAGACGAAAAAGGGCACACAAAGCCCATCGAATCGGAAGGACGGTCCGTCCCATTTCCTATGTTCAGGACTTGGAGAATGCAGAGAAGAGCATTGAGAGCTCAAAGTCGGAAGTAAAGACGCTTGGCCGGCACGGATATTCGGAGCTGTGTAAACGAGCGCAGAGCACAGAGCATGAAGGGTACTGGGAAGCAGCTATACAGGGCCAGTCACATGTTACAGAATCCATGTCTCTACATCAAGGAGAGAGCTCCAGGCCCTGCGCTCCAATGCCTGGGCCCTTCTGTTGCTCTTCCTGTGGCTCAATGGTCAAAGCTCACGCGGCCCGTGAAGGCACGGCCCAACATTGAGAAGTCTGTGAGCCAAACGAGGGAGAAGGCAGGTTGCTGGCTGAGCCTTTCCTTGTGTGTTTTGGGCTTGTTCAGTCAGCCTACCATTTCATCTGTACAACGAGTTCGTACGAGCTTGTCCGCAGTTCGTGCCCTCTTGCTCAAGAGTCTTCCCCACTTACAGTTCAATGTTGACGACACTGAGTTGCTTTGAGTTTTGCGAGCCGAATAAAGTTGCAAGCCACGAAACGGAATCGCACGGGCAGCCCAGCTGAAAGCGAGCAGTAATGGTCCTCTCGTAGCCCGGAACCCTGTGCGCCATGGCGCTGCGCTTTGACGGCAAGGCGCTGCCCACAAGAACATCTCTGTCGTGTCTGGCGCGTACAGCAACAGCGCGGCCTTGCGAGGTGGCCATTGTCACAGGCGCGGGCAACGGTCTCGGCAAGGACCGGCCCCCAACCCTTTCCCCTTTCGCGCGGGGGCTGTGACACGTCGGAGCTCTCGCCTCTCAGAGGAATATGCGCTTCTTCTCGGGCACCGAGGAGCCAAGGCCGGTCGCCTGAAAGCGCAGCAAAACGGTTGGTCTTCAGTCGCCTGTCGCACTTTGTCGAAGGTCGTGGTCAACGATCTGGGTGGTGCGGTACCGAGCATGTGCAAGCCGATGGGTTGTACAAGCAAGGCAAGTGCAGGTGGAAGCGTTCGTGACGGTGACCGGGCGGGGGGGTGCTGCGGCTGATGATGAGAATGATGATGACGATACTCGGATAGTGATTATAGTCTTGGCTGCTGGACTAGGTAATTGCTGGATTTCTAACCAAAAACTCGATTTGCTTCTTCCAGCTTATGCAAATTATCATTCTCTTGGCCCATGCCTCTCCTGAACTGGTCTTCTTCGCAAGATGCTCAGGTCCAATGTTGGCGCGGCATAAACCAAGACATGCGTTTCGTATTCAGGAATGAATCTGACGACTCCTAATGGAGCCGAGAAGAGACGTTTGAGATCGCCAGAGACGGCAAATGAAGAGAAGGCGCTCGGCAAACAGCGCTCCAGTAGAACTTTCTTTCTTCATTATCGGGGCACACCGCTGGCATGGCTCAGAGCTCCTGGCAAAGCAAAGCATAGAAATAGGTGTGAACGTGAGATAAAGGAAAAAGGAAGTCGATCTGCATGGTCAGATGCGTCTGTTCTGGGCTGGAGCACACGGAAGTCAAGTTCTTGAATCTGGTCCTCGAAATGAGTTACAGACATCACCTCAAAAAAACAGCCTCTTTCTTCGCCATCGAGAAATGTCCTATGTTCGTGGTCGACTGTCTGGTTGAACATGCAGTTTCGGCAAACATGAGCTCTGGCAGTCCATACTCAAAGCCAGGAATGCCTTAACCACACACAAACTCTTAACGGCGGCCGAGTGTCTCGAGCGCCGACGGGGCAGAACCCTCGCGGTATCTAAATTTGCAACAGGGAAAAATCCCAAGAGGGGGGGGGCGGCAGCGAGGCCCCTCTTTCCCTGCCCAAGCGGGGCTTCCAGCATTGCTGAGGCACAACAACTGGTACGGGGAGTTCCAGTTCTGCAGCGGTCGGCTCCTCAATGAAACTTCTTTGTCGGCGCAGCTTGAAACTGCCAGGATGCGGTCGTAGCTGAGATCAAGCAAGCAGGTGGAGAGGCTGGACAGCTGGACCCAGTGCCACAGGTTCACCAACTTGGACATACCCGCAATATTCAGTTGTGCGAGGCTGTTGCCAGCTATGATTCCGTTGTGGACGGGGACAAGATTGTCCAACTGGCCGTGGACACGTGCTCCCCACCAAGCCACCCCCCAAAGATGCCCTAAGACCTAAGAGTTTCCAGCAACCATGGGCCAGATTCATTCAGTGCAGCAGCTTGCTAAGCAGAAAGCCTCGTGTACATGTTAATGTCCGTAGCCGTAGTCCGTATATCTACTTAGTAGCTAGATTCTGTTGAAGTCTGGGCATGTGCATGCATGTGCCTGCCTGCACGAGCTGAATTTTCTGTCAATCCTTGATTGTTCGTGTGCCCCGTGGTCCAGGTATGGTCGGGTAGACATCGTCATCAACAATGCCGGGATTCTTCGGGATGTCTCCTTCAAGAGGATGTCAGAGAAGGCGCCTCTCAGCAGCGCTTTTGTCGCTGCAAAAGCTGCCGTTGTTCTGAACTTGCAAAGCTTTGAAAATACCAGGACTGGGACATGGTGTACCAGGCGCTGCTGCGAATGCCTGTGCATACCTGCGCCTGTGCGCTGCCTCCATCTCAGGTCCACCTAAGGGGTGCCTTCAAGGTCACCCGCGCTGCCTGGCCTCACATGGCCCTGGCCCCGAACATCGCAGGTTTGCAGGTTTGCCTTGCCAGTTGAGCGGCAGAGGAGAAGAACTCTTATGGCCGCGTGGTGAACGTGTCAAGCCCTGTAGGGCTGTATGGCAACTATGGCGAGGGCCCTGGCACGGCAGAGCACATCTGAAGATATTCGCAGATTTGACTACGCATGCACTGGTCAGGTCAAGCCAACTACACGGCCATGAAGAGGCTGACAGCTGCGACAGCGGGGATTTCACGCCACGGTGGCAAAGCCTTGCAAAGGGCCGTCGTGGGCTTCACCTTGTCGCTGGCTGCAGAAGGCCGGCCATTCCATTGATTCTTTCGTGAGCATAGATGTCATGATGATATTGTCACGTGAGGTGCTAAGAAGCAGATCAAAGTGAATGTGGTAGCGCCGTACGCAGCCTCCAGAATGTCGCCCTCGCCTCAGCATTGCTCGGATTCGCCTCGTCCTTTGCCTTTCTACGGAGACAAGCTCCAGGCAGACTGTGATGTCTCCCGAAATGCTGCAGGTTGCGCTCAGTTAGAAAACTGTCTGTCTTCGATTCAGCTGTTGGATGATTGCACAGGCTTTGCCTGCTTCGTCTGCCGCCAAATTCATAGCCTTCCTGTTCCGCGCTCAGATGCTGCACCAAGAGGTAATTGGAAGTCCATTCATAATATCACGGGCTATCATTATTGAGACAGTTATGATATGGAGAAGGCACGACATGTCCTGATGGCATGATGCCGCGTTTGCCTAGGAACATTGTCGAAGCAGTTTTACTCATTGTTCATAACAGTCGCATGCTGAACTGCAGGTGCCACGAGGACTGCCCGGAGTCAGGCGGCTTGTACGAGCTCGGCGGAAACTGGATCTCCAAGGTGCGTCCCTTCCTTGCCTGCGTTAGCCGGGCAGCTTTGTGTGGAACGCACATTACAGGTAAGGCTCCAACGCTCGAGGGGTGTTCAGCTCAAAGGTGATTTCACGATGGAGGCCAGATGATCGCAACATCGGTGCCGCAGGGGATCTTCGGTTCTTGCGTGGGCGCTTCGCCGGTGAGGACATCGCGCAGAACTTCGATCAGGTCTGTGACTTCAGCGAAGGTCCGCCTTGATTCTCCGACCGAGCGAGAGCAAACCTTTCTGCCTGTTGGAGGCTCCGAGTTTCCAACAGAAGGCTTCTCTGGGATGCAACATGCGATGGCCGGCTTCTCGGTGAATTCACATCATGTCCACTCGCTTACTTCTCTCACCTCTCCCTGCCTCTCCCTCCCTCTCCCTCCCTCTCCCTCCCTCTCCCTCCGTCCTCCGTTCATCTCCCGCTCCCTTCTGCCGGCGCAGGCCTGGCGGAAGACCGACGCGCCAGCAAAAGGAGATCCGACGTCCAAGCTCTGAGCCGGCAGCACGGAGACGGGGGGACTCTGATTTCTTGCTGACTTTCACTGGCTGGCCTCCCCAGCCAACGACGCGAGCTGGGCCTTGATGATCCCTGAGCCCTGCCCAGCGGCCAAAGACCATGGCCGCCATGGCCCATGCGTGAGCCTTGAGCTCTTGCAAGCTATGCAGCGGCAGGTTCTGCTGCATTTTCAGCCTGGAGGCCACAGCGGCACAACATGCCACAGCTAGAGGATGCCAGCGGTTGCGCCTTTTGTGCGGAGGAAGAGAAAGTTCCGTGCTCTCAGTCGCGGTAGGTTTCAACCCGGCACATAAGCATCGAACGGAACGCGTCTCATCGTGCTGTCAAGACTGGTTGGCTCGATACTTCGTATTTGTTGAGAGGCAGCAGAAACCAAGAAGCTTGAGAGTGAAGCCGCTGCTCGACTGCAGAGCCTGCAGACCCGGCAGAAGGACAGCTTGGAGGGAAGAGCAGCCCACAGCGGCAGAAGCCACTCCTGCAGGACCAAGCTGCTCGCGCAAAGTCCACCGAAGGCCGACTGCAGACGGAGCTGACTCAGGCACTGCCCTCCTCCAAGCTAGCAGGCTGTCCAAAACATGTCAGTGAGGTCATTGTCGGCACGCTTTGACAGCATGTGGCTCATGCCTCCAAAGTAAGGGGTAGGTCCGGGTAGGCAAGCACTTAGTAACGGCAGCCAGGTAGCTAAGCAAATCACTGAGCAGGTACTGTTGTATCTCCCTGTAGATACAACAGTGGCCAGCTTGTGAGCTGGTCAGAGCGCGCGTGTATTCGTGTTCCGCTCGTACAAGCTAGGTACTCGTAGGTGACTGCGGAAAGGTATGGCCAGACACAGCCTGACACAGCATCGGTGTTTCTTGAAAAGCAGCGGGGGCGCCCAACGCAAGACTCATAATTGACCACCTTCTGCCATTGGCCATGATCGTCCGGCCTGGGCAGCCGTCAAAAATGTACTCGCTGTCCATGGCAAGTGGCGGCATGGGTGTCTCCCTGGGCTCTTCGAAGTTGAGGGAGGCCAGGGAAGCCAAGGCAAAGACCAAAACGCGGCCCAACCCTGGCACCGGCCCGTCGAACGCTTCGGGCCGGGCGCCCAGGCGGGAGTCGCCCTTGGCGGCTGCAGCGAGGCGTGCACGGGAGGCCATGGCCGGAACGCCGGCCTCCAAAAACGAAGGTCGCAGTCAGAGGCCGAGAGCCTCAAGCGGCCAGGGCGGCCAGGGCCTGGCCCCCAAGCTGCGAAAGCCGCAACTCGGGGCCGAGCCGCCGCCTCCCACGCCGTGTACGCCAGAAAGCCCACTGCGCTCCGAGACACAGCCGTTTGCCTATGCAGCCCGGTCGCTGATCCGGTCGCACGGGAGCCCGGAAAGGGACTTGGACAAACATCCTTCCCGCAGACCTCCCGGCAGCTGTTCGCCGGAAAGCCCCGACTGGAAGAATGGCAGGAGAAGGCCATCCCATGCATTCGAGGATCACGATTCCAATGCGGACTTTGCGAATTCTTCAGTCGGCTCGGCTCCGATCGATGTGTCCTGGGAGGACCCTGTCGAGCCAGCAAAATCCAGACAACTTCCTGCACGAAACAAGCTGCCCAGGACATGGCAGCGAAATCTGCAGAAAGGGCCGAGATTTTAGAGGCGGGTGCCCTTGCATTGAAGGTTGTTCGTGTTCATGATACTGGCTAATACGGCTAGTACTTACGTCCAGTCATGCGAGTGTGAGAGGCGGCGGCGGTGCTGCGCCGCGAGGCGCAGGATCTGGGCCAAGCGTTACGGGCCTGGGTTGGCGTGGAGGCACGGTTGAATCGGTGGTGGGCATCGAGGGCTCCTGACGACTCCTGGACATCCGTTTGTTAGGCAGAGCCGGAGCGGAGTGCTCCGGAAGAGCTGCCTTCCTCGCTTTTCGCACCTCTGGCTTCCGAGCCGGAAGAGATCGACGAGCTGGAGCCGCGTAAGGCCGAGAGACAATGATGGACGAGCCCAGTTGTTGGCTTTTTGGTGGAGGCACCGGTGGGCGCCGGGGCTGATGCCGGTGCCGGTGAGGAGGGTGACGGGATGAAGGAGGCCGGGTGTGAGATTCGGGATTACGCAGCAAAGCACTAAGTGCCGTCTCAAGGCCTTCGAGGCCAAGCCCCAGGAGCCCGAGTTGGAGCTGTTGCCAGAACCAGAGACGCTGCCCCGGCCAGAGTGTGAGCTCGGAGAGACCGAGGCTGGTTCTGGGGGCAGAGACGGTCTCGAAGCGAGTTTTTGCAAAGCGGGCTCCAGGCATTGGACGAGCGTGAGCGCCTCATGCTGCAGCCGCAACCTCATGCCACCCTTAGATATCATTAGTCATGTGAGTCAGACGGGCCTATCGCACTGTATCCACTCGAATCATGTTCGTTGCGACGTGCGACGGAGGCGCGAGCGGCTGGACAACGACCTGGAGAGAATCGCAGGCCAGATGTCTTCCTGGCATTCGGCCTCTTCGGCCTTTTCGGCATTTGGCCCAGAGTGTGAGCAAGGCGAGTGGCATCGTGTGCTGGCCGAGAGACAGCAGGCGATTGAGGCCTCGATATCCAATCTTAGCTACAGCATCTTCGTGAACTCTGAACTTGCCCGCGTGGAGGCCCTGGCGGCGACGGAATTCCCAGCTGTGGCACAGCACGGCCCCCGTTTTTCTCTGCAGATGGTTAGTGCTGGCCTTTCGTGTTGGGAAGACTCGACACTCGCACACTGGAGGCTTTCACAGGCGCCAGTCCCGATGCCAATGTGCCTGGCCGGAAAGGGAGCTGTCACCACTCGTTCTTGCGAAAAAGCTGGCAGCCGGGAACGAAGGCATGCCAGAGCAACGCTGGGCTCGCCTGTCCAAATGACAATGCCGACAATGCATGCAGTGCGAGTCCCAGAGAAACTGGAAAAGGGGAACCTTTTTGTTCTTTTTTTGGATGGCCTCGGCATACTTTTCTTCAAGGCTCCCTTGCCCGCGCGGGCGACTGTGCCACTGAGAGCACAGGAGGCAATGCGATTGTTGTTGCTTTTGTGGGTCTGGCTACGCTCGCATTCCCATCAGGTCTATGCACACGTGCAGGCATTGTCGCGCTCGCCAAGTCCGGTTGCGGTGGGAACCTTGTTCACTGCATGCAGTGACATGCAGAGTTGAACCCTGCTCCTACCGTAGATCTAGGCCACAGGCATCTGCAGGCCCCACGGCGTGAAAGCTTTGACAGGGTTGCATGTATTTGCATGAACTTGTTCGGCGCACGATCTTTGGGCTCAGCGTCCGTGGCCATCTGGCCCTCGACACCATGGCTGTCAATGGGCCTCGGCCATGTGCCAAGTCAGAGTCGCCTTGAGCTCTACAGTACTGCAGGGGAGTTCTGCGAGTCTCAAGCACTGGCCCCCGTACGAGGCCCTGCCAGGGCCATGCTGCTCGCAGGCAGCATAGAGTCATCTTGGCAGTACCGGACTCGGTCGTGAAGCGCCTTGGCCTTCAGTCATTCCCTGCTGTGCCCAGGTCTTGGCGCTTTGCGGAGCTGCAGCCTGGTCGGATCCCCGGCTCGTGTACGATTCCTGACCGTCCTGTCCGAGTGCCTGAGGTACGGCACTGCCCGGAGCTTCCTCGCTGCGAGCGGGCGAGGTGGCGATGAGCCTTGCGGACACCATGCTTCTCGGACACCATGCTTCTCTGTTGGGGCAAGCAGGACTGGGTCGCAGCGACCGCAGCGTTGTCGCGCGAAAGGCGTGGCGACGTGTGTTAGAGCCTCTCAGAGGAGAGCGCGCCACTCTTGAGAGAGAGGACGCAGACATTTGTGACAGGCGGGCTACACCTTCGGCCTCAGCTCTTCGGAGGATCACAAGGGACTCCTGACAGCGCAGAAGGACCGAACAGCGACTTGCAGTGAAGTCATCATAGAAGCAGCCGAACGAGGACAATGCCTACCGAGTCTCCACGGAAGGCAGCTTTCTCTCCGGACACTACAACACGGCCACCTCGTCCGCACTAGGTCACTAGGCCACGCTAGAGCGAAGCAATCGAGCTTTCCTCGAAGGTGTTGGGAGATCAGGAGATCCCTTCGTCCGGCCGCTCCTACTGGGAGGCGGAGAGATGGGACCGGGTAGACTCAAGGAGACCATGGGTCCCAGTTCCATCTGGGCCCTGGAATGCGGGCAGGTCAAGATCGTGACCAAACCTTCCGACGCATGGGAGTTCATAGGTGCGACGGGCTCTTGCTCGCTTGTCCAGCTTGAGAGCAGCTTCGGCAAGGCGTCGCCGAACCAACAGCAGACGTGTCGTGACCTTATGTGGTCAACTCTCCCAGCCTATCATAGCCAAGCGTCAGAGGACAATGCCGCTTCACAAGAACAAGAAGGGCAAGGGATGGTTTTGGGGCGGCGACTGGAGCGAATCCTTCGTAAGCTTGTGCAAGTTATGAAACCGCAGCCGTCGACTACAGAGTCCAAATCTCACTGTCGCCAGATCTACACTTTCATGGAAATGAAGCCGGGCATGAACGACAAGAAAATGGCCCGGAAGCCTGCAATTTTGCCCGGAACCAAAGAAGCTGCGCCTGACCCGAGGCTCACCACAAACGTATTTCAGACACAGCTGCCGCATCCTCGTCCTTGTGCTGTTGGGCTCATCATGGCCCGTTGGCAATTGGTGCACAACGCACTGTGACACGGTACTATCGAACGTGACTGTATGCAGCACCCTGACCGCAGCAGAGTGGCTCGTTTTGGTGAAGCTATGGTCGCAGTTTCGTGACTCTGTGCCTGCTCATGGTGCTGGAAGCCTCCAGGTCTGCAAGGAAGGCCCGATATATGCATTGCCGCATTGCCAACAGACTGTCTCTTTCCGTGTGTGAACTGGCCAGGCATGTCCTCACCGCTGCCGCCCATCAGCCCTCGACCCATCTACTCAGCAAGCTCAGCCGCATCTGCAGCGAGCGGATCGACTCGAAGGGCATCGGACTCAGGGTGTCGCGCGCCGAACAGTATCCTGGACAAGACAGGGCTGATTCTCGAACTGAGTGCGACGATCTCCGAGGCGGCCGATCGTCTACCGGCGCTGGATAGCATGTCACAGATGCTCTTGTCCCAGGCAACGGATACATCCGTTCAGCAGCACCTGAAGCAGAACGCTGTTTGGTCGATGTGTTTCGAAAAGCAACTCCGCTTCTTGGCGCAGCCCCGAGGTCAGCTCGCATCCAGGCTCTGTCCAAGCAGCAGGCGCCTTCTGCCTGGTACCCGAGGGTTGCGAGCCTTCGTGTTTCCCTCGCGAAGGTGGAGCTGAAGCGTGAGATCAAGGAGCATGGGGCGACGAGCTGCATCTCTGATGGTTCAGCGAGGAAAGCTCACGACATTTCAGGAGGCCAGATCACTGGAAACGCCCCCACCGTGCGGAGCTTTGTCTTTCCACGTCCCTTCTCTTGAATCTAGAAGTAAGCAGCCTTATCTGCGGGAGCTGCATTTGGAGATCAGGTCCGAGAGGGTCTCCGAGAAGCTGTGCCCGGCATCTCGCGGCTCCCGCGGCTCCCGCGGCTCCCGCTCTCTGCCGATCGAGCCGCGGGGCGGGGAACGGCGAAGCTGGGGCAAAGGACTGGCTCTGACAGTCTCGACCGCGGTAAAAGCTCCCGACGAGGCTACTGTTTGAAAGGCTCGGCTCGCGATCCCTGCACGAAGCTAAAAAATTTGGGGGGGAAGGGGACGGGCGATGAGAACGTCCATCCGATCCCGCACACCCTGCGCACACCCCAAAATTACCCAAACTCTGCTGTTGGATCTAATCCTTGCTGGCCCTGAGAAACTCAACGGTCCAAATGACAGATCCTCAGTCACCAACATCTCCTCGTAGGGTTTAGGGTTTCAGCGAAGGGCTTTCGCCTTGAGGTCTGCCTGCCGCTCCGAGTAGTGGTGCCTCTCAAAACTATGCGGCGAAAGACCTGAGAAATTGCACGCTCCACCATAAATCGTTTTCCATCAAGCTACTCTGCCGCTGCGCGGTCGCGAGGAACTCGGCTAACGGGTTTGAGGCACACGCACCAGGAAAACGTATTTGCGTTTGTCGGCTCGGGGCCTTAGCGTGGCTCCGGGGAGATACTTACCATTCATCTCATTTGGTGTACCAGTCATTCGTTTGCAGTACACCGGGGCAGGACACGAGATCAGTCGTTTGTTTTCTTGCATGCCATTCCAGGAATTCCAGAGGTTTGGAAGAGTTTGTTCATTTTGATTTTGGTTGCCATGCCTCTGAGCAACCGCATTCAGAAGAGTGTCCAACAGCGGCTTTACGACATGGTTCCGTGGCGACTGCGATCGGGGTATCTCCCAATGGCTGCGAGATCAGGCGCACCAGCGTGCCGGAGCTTGCTCGAAGCCTTGCTCCAGGCCCTTTGGCATTCCCCAAACTACAAACACTCGCCCTCGCTGCCTAATGTAACCCCAAAGGGAATCTGAGTATACCCATGTCGATAATGCAGAGCTATCATCATCGTCAACTCAACCCATCTGAGGGGTGCTGTCCCTGTGTGTTTCATCCCTGTAACAAAGGGCTAGTTGTACCTAACGGTCATTGTGAGTGAACATGAAGAAGGGAGGATGCCGCACCTGGGGAAAGCCTTTCCCCAGCTGCGTCATCCTCCCTTCTTCATGTCCACTGTTCCAGCTGGTGGGCTTTCAACATGTCGTTCTGCGAGTGCTTTTTGATGCTTCCTGATCAAAGGTCAGTGTGTGAGCAGGTCTGCGTGTGCATGTCAGTTAACCTCCCACCGACAGATGAGCCTGGAGTCCAGTGATGAAATATCCGAACAGAGAAAGCAGACAAAGCAGAATTCAAGAAAAGAGCCACATCACGGACGACATTCCAGATCAGGAGATCTGATGCAAGTGTGTGTGTGTGTGTGTGTCGGCGCGTGCGTGCCGTCCTAGGTCACAGGGACTGAGGGGGAGGAGGTGTGGGGCGGGGGACCTGCACGTATCCGCCCCAGCATGTGCAGACAGGGGACACTATCATTCATGTCGCTGTTCTGTTGTTTGTGGCGGACTGTGGCAGGACCCCATGCCATTCCTGGAGTCTGGCATACGTATGCACCACACCATCGTCTATTTTCATTCTCATAGCCATGCTGCTGACTTATCGCATCGTGGCTAGCTCACGAGAGAAACAGAGGCAGAGAGGGAGGGAGAGAGCACTCGCTTAAATATTGCACCTTTGCATGGAGAGCCTGTGACGCCCTCCTTGCATCCGGGGGCAGGAGGGAGGTTAACCTGGACTGTTACTGCAGGGAAGCCTTCCCACCTTTCCCAGCGGTGCTTGAGCAAATATATCTGTTGCCACGTTGCTCTAGTGGCCCTGTCGCGCCGTTGTAGCAAGGGCCAAGCGATCTTCAAGAGGGCAAGTTGGAGTGCCACCTCTTCGACCGCGACCGCGCAACTGCAAGAGCTTCTCTCCGGAAGTCCTAAGGTGGGGGGATTCTTCGCCAACCGCTCCCTTGACTTTGCTGCCGCAGTGACCGTATCTCCTCACTGGGCGGGGGACAACGTGGACTCGGTGACCGTGACTTGGGCAAGGGCGGCGACATAGTGAAGTGCGCCTTTCGTGGGAGTCATGGCTAAGGAGTGTAAACTATGCAGGTACAGCGGGGGAATGTGCACAATAAGGTTTAGAAAAACCCACGAAAAATCGGACCCGGAATGCAGCCTCCATGGGTAAAAAGACAAGGGGAACCTACCCCTGGACCGCTACAGAAGCCGGTCTCCAGCTGGAGCTCCCAAGAGTGGGGGGGACGCCGCAGCAGCTTCGGATGCCCCTTCAGCACACCCCTTCACTCAAATGACACAGTTCGAGACCAGGCGGGAGATGATATTGCTTTGCGTGCCTGCGCCGCTGGACAAATGGATATAGGCCGAGCAATACAGCAGCACGCCACGACAGGACGCTATAAAGATGTGGCAACGTGTACGGGGGAGTGGCTCACGAAAGAAATGGCCAAGTCTTACCAGACAAGACGTGCAGAGCGCCAATGCACCGGGGGAAAAGACTGACAAGTTGGTTCGTATAGTGGACAAGTACCTACCAAGGGTAGCCGAGGAGACCCACATCTATGCTGGTCGCTTCCCGCGTGGAGAAACTTCTGTTACAGGTACGGCGGATCCGCAGGAAGGTCAGAGCAAGGAGGCGGAAGCCTACAGAGAGCACACCAAAGACCGAGGACAGACCAGCAGAAGCCACGACAGCAACAGTGACGAAAGCGAACAAGACGCCACTACACACTGGGGGATACGACCGCAGTAGTTCGACCTGGCCATGGAGGAGAACTGCAAATGACAAGACAGGCGACCCATGCGCATGAGATAAAGGAGCGCAGTAACGACGCAAGCCAGCATGAGACAAAGGAACGAAGTGAGGATGAAAATCCGCCTGGGCGGGGGGACACAGACGATGGCAACACGCACACCTTGCAGAATGAGCCGCAGCATGAAAACCAATGGCCGTGGGGGGAAGAAGGACGGCCCTCAGATCGAGACGCAAGCTCGGGTGTCTTGGCTCAACGCCCAAATGAGCCCAGAGGGGAACCACCACGACGAGACCAAGTTATACAAAAAGAGCTGCCCGTCAGCCACCACGACGAGGGGGATGGAGTCCAATTGGTCCCCAACCAAAGATGGCGAGCTGCACAGCGGATCCGAGCACACATGGAGGGGACTGACAGCAGTCAGGGGATTCAGCATGTTTTTCAGTCCGGGGGAGCTTTGCACTCTGATGATGATGGAATGCCAGATGTATTGTCTTGTTTACTTCGGATGCTACTGAAACTCTGTGTGATGCCTCCCAAAGTTGTACCCCAGTTCGCTTGCAATGACAAGCATAATTCTGACGGGCCGCTGAGCCATACATCACTACTGGCCATATTGCCGCCCTTCAAACTGCACGCCTGCAAAACACTCGGCTTTCTAGGTAGGGGCCCTACTGCCAATCCACACACACCCAGCTGGGGGAAACTTTTTTCTTTGTATATGACAATAAAGCAGGGGACAAGGACCCAGTACTGATGATTCGCATCGTACTTTACCATACTTTGCTGTTGCTTCACCACCTGCATGCGAAATAATCCCGGGAAACTTCGTGTTCTACCTTTGCAGGGGCCTCAGCTAATCATGCAGTGTACAGGGGGGGATACCGTCGCTTTCCGTAGTATATTACAAGGAGGCATGGGTGGCTGCAGGTACCAAGGATCTTGCCATAGCTGGCACGGGGATGAGGCGGGCCTGAATTTTAATAACGGTTGGGCTTTGCAGCAGCCTTCCTCAGCCTTCCTCTCCCGTTCGAACTATCCGACGGGGACGAATACCGTCCATGAGGCCCCAATGCCCTTTCCCTACCGGGGGATGCCTAGGCGCAGGCTAACGCAGTTGGCTCGGACGCGGCGGAAGGAAGGAAGGAAACAGTCTTCAATCGTGCTTTCTTTCTCACATACTGCCCGTGCTCCTGTGGCTGTGCGAAGAAGACGGAGAGTGCTTGGGTGAAGAAGAGAGACGGACAGCAGACCAAGTTGACCAGTGCGCGCTTGCAGAGGGGTGGGTTGCCCGCTAGTGTTGTCTTTGTGGAAGAAGACGGAGAAAAAGAGAGAGAGAAGGAGAGAGAAGGACCCCGTGTCTTGTTCCGACAAGGCCCCACAACAGGAGCACGCCAACCTGCGCGGGGAGCCTGACCTGCTCCCTGAACCCCGGACGTCCTTCCAAAGCCCTTAGAAACGGGGGGGTCCTGGATGGTCCTGGCGGCCGGGGATTGACATGCCCCTCATGCCCTGATTAAGAAGAGAGAATGAAAGTGCCAGAAAGAAATTGAAAGAAACACAGAAAAAAATAAAGAAAGAACGACAGACGGAAATAACGAAAGAAATAAAGAACGAAAGAAAGAAAGAAATAACCAGAGAGAGAGAGAGAGAGAGTGTGTGTGTGTGTTTGTGTCTGTGCACGTGCCAGGGCCTTTGCACAAGTTGTGTTTTTCCCAGCCTTCACACGCCACGTGTTTTGCGCAAATGCCTGCAGGAATTGGGAAGGACAGCTCGAAGGGCAGCTCGAAGGGGAGCTCGCAGAAAGGACAGCATTGGAAGCCGACAGGCGAAGTCGCCAGTTGTGCAAATTCTCCATTTCATCACGAAGTTCTACTTGCAATCTTCGCAGGTCGGGTGTCTGGAGAACCAGGGGGCTTGGGCGGCAGAGCCGACAGAGTGGCTCGGGCTGCGCGGCCGCCGCCGGCCACTGCCGTGAGAACGTCCGGAGCTCTGAAAAGCGCTGTTTGCGCGTGGCTGCACTCACCTTCGGGCCCTGCTCTGCATGGTGCGGAGGTACGACGATCGCGGCATCCCCAACTTCCGATCGCGTCATGAAGACATGAAAGCCGAATGGGCAGGGAAGTGGGGTGACGGCGACGAGGATTGGGGTGAATGGGGCGAGTGGGATGAGTGGGATGAGGACGGAGACTGGGGCTGGGACGAAGGTTGGGATGACGGTTGGGAAGGTGGATATGGATGGTGATGCCAGTGATGATGGCGCCACTGGCTCCACGAGCAGTCGAGAATGAGCTATTCAGGCTGTTCTGGTCAGACGAGCTCGGCGGAAACTGCGGCGGTAGACCGGTAGACTGCATGTCGACAAGAAGCCGTCAAGGGGAACCGAGATGCACGTGGGCGAAGCCGCAAAGTCACTCGACGTTCAGCTCCCGAAGGAGGCAGCTGCTAATTGTACATAGAGATTCTGCACGCTCTCCTTGCTCTCTCAACTATGGAACCTCCGAATTGCGCTGCCAAGAAAAGAGAGCTAATGAGCTGATGCAGAACTTCGATCTGTTTAGCAGCCCTACATCCACGTTGTCCGGCTGTGACCAAGATCTCCTACGGCTTGTTCGAGCGAAAGAAACTTGATCCTCGGCTGCGAGCACAACAGATCTTCGTCGTTTCTTGTTGCCCACTCTCTTACCAATGGACAGCTGAGGAAGAGCAAATTTTCAGACCCATCGAGAAGCTGTGGACGGCCGCTATCCAAGCTGCTTTGCCAACTTTGGCCGCAGTATTCAGTGCTCTTGAAGGGACCTGGCACCCACATCGGCATGCTGTCAGACTACCATCCTCCGTTCGAGCGAGGCCTGTTCTCAAAGTGCCTGCAGCTGGATAGACGGGCCGTTGAAGCAGGCACCGTGGTCGGCATCGACGTGGACATGGACGACGGTCAAAGGCCAAGTTGAGACTCCGGGTTTCAGGTATCAAAGCCCCAAATCCAAGCTGAGTCAAACTTTCCAGGCCTTGGCAGTGCTTTTTGTTGCCAAGGCTCTCTGGCTTTCTGGGCCAATGGTGAGTTCCTCGGTATCGTCAAAGACAACGAGGCGGAGTTCCCACCGCTCATCTCACGTGCCTTTCCAGAGCTCAAAGCGTTCTTGTCTTCGCGAGCTCGGAACGCTCGATTCGGATACTCTATGTGGGGACTTTTGGCTCCCAAAAGGGAGCCGGAGATATTAGTACACTTGACATGTGAGCAGTTGCAGCACGGAGAGGATCTGATCCTGTGCAAAGCCCTGCCGCACTCGCCGCTTCCTGCCAGTAAGCTTTCCGCAGTCTCAGTCTCTTGAGTCATGAGCTTGTGAGCTGCAGTTATGAAATCCTTGACACTCGATGACCATCAAGTCGCTCGACTCAGAATCGGCTTGGGTCGGGAGTGATAATGTCTTGACGCCAGGACAAGCCCGTGAACCTCAAAGGCAAGAAGATTGCCAGCGGCTGAGACGGTCTTCGGGTACAGGCCCCGAGGAAGGCTGCCGCCCTCAGGTGCCAGCCTTGAGCGTGTTTGGCAGGCTGGAGATGCCGGGTTTAAGCCTCTCCTTCTCTAGAGGTGCATGGTGCGGCTTCAGAGTGCCTGCGCAGGAACACAGGAAATCACAAAGAGAACACAGTCATGGAGGCACCTCTCTAAGCGACATGGGCTGTCCCGAATCCCAACAGAAAACTTGGTAGCAGCACAACTGTCAGGTTCGGACCGGTCTAGATGCCCCGACGCGGTCGCGCCTTCAGCACAAGACTCCTGAATCAGATCAAATGGTGTGGACGAGCTTATAACCAGTGTCTTCCATTTGGCTTCCGCTGCTTCGCCTGTGGGGCCGAGGCCTGGCAAGTGAGCGACTTCCAGAGCGTTTCAAACATCCCAACGAACACCAGCAGTCTTGCAACCACAGGCTCTCACTGTCTCTCACTTATCTCAGTTAGGAGCTAAACAGCCAAGCAGCCGAATAAAGGTCCCCATACATCTGCGCGTCCTGCTCAGCAGCAAAAAAGTATTGGCACGTCGCAACTGCCGCGCTGCCGGTTGCAGTCTTCCGGCATCCTCTGACTCCGGTTCACGAACCTCCAATGGGTTCTCCCAGGTGCGTTCGCCCAGTCCTGGCTTCCACGGAGGACCTGTTTCAGAGTTTCAGCCGCGCGGTGCTCACGCAAGGTTCAGCACCCTCTATGAAGTAACCGTGGAGTCGCGATCTGCAGGATGCCTGGGTCTGGGCTCGCCCCTTCAGGCTGTTCCCGTTGCGCCCCTGTCGCCTGTGATGGCCATGCCTCCGGTGTCGGTGCCGACACCTGGGCCCGTCACCTTTGCACCGGGGAGGCCGAGCAACGCGTTGCACCGCGTCGCTGCACACTGCGTGTCACTGCTCTCGACTTCACACTCTCTTGGCCGCTCAGTCCCCTGGCATCTCCCTTCAGCGGCAGAGGCGCCGAAAAAACTGCAAGAGATTCTGCAGACCGTATTCGGCATCACGGAGCAGCTTGTATCTTGCAGGACCTCTCTTCTCGCCCATGCTCGATGCGGGATACACGCGCGCTGTGGCAAGGCCCTTTGGCAGAGTCGCGAAGCTGCTCTCTAGTAGGCCAGTGCATGCCAGTGCATGGTGCCCTGTGATTACTCTGCCAGTCCTTTGCAAGCCAGTGGCGCGGCAGGCCTCGCAAGAATTGAAAGGTCGTGCTTGCGGCTTTCCCTGCCCATCTTGGCAGGAACTCCACTTTCCCCGCTTGTGGCTGCATCGTATCCTCGAAGTGTGGGCGGAAGGCGGGCTGGGGGAACCCGTTGCTACTAATCGGTGCTTTTGCGAGCGTTGCACCGAGTCCGATACCTTTCCGCACAAGCAGTCCCGCAGGCGGTGAACTCGGCGTGTAAGTTGAGTTGGAGCCCGGTGGTGGTGTGGGAAACGTGCCAGGACCCCCTCGGATGCTTACACCTACAAGCTCTTCGTCTGCAGATTTCAGCCCTTAGGCCCTTGGCGACGATTGTCAGAAGCACCAAAAAGATTCGCAAGCCGTCCATTCTTAGGTGCATCACCTCTGGCTGCAGATCGCAGGATCACCGTGCCTGTGGGTTGCACAAGTGTGGGTCAGGAACGTGTCAGACACGAACATGTGAGGTTCACATCTTTTTGGTGGTAAGTGCTTTTTTACGGTGCAAACCGGCCAAGCCATGAACCTGTAGGTAGGGTCCAGCGCCCACTCCTTCCCTTGTCCAGGACAGCCTCACCTTCGCAAGTACACGATGCGACTGCCTCGTGCCTCGCGTTTTGCTCTGAAGCTTGGTCGTGCTCTCCATGTCTCAGGTGAGGAGGAGTCTCTCGCCGAACTTGTCGCAGCCATCATCTTACCTTGAGCAGCGTGCATGGGCCAAGAGTGAGGGAGTCAGAGAGTGGTGCCCAGGACTCGAATCCTGCAACCTCCAGTGGTAGCCACGAAGGTGCCGTCTTCTGGCTTCCTTCTTAGGTTCGGCGTAGGCCTTCGGCCTTCTCTTTGCAGGCGCCAGTCTCATGGACGGACCTCATGCAGGCCATGCCGCCGCCATGCCATGTATGGAGCAGAGCAGGGGTTGGCCATGATGCTCGTCATTGACTGCCGTGGTTTAAAGGCTCCTGTGGGAACACGATTCGTGGTCCCGAAAGGCACGCTCAACGCGCAGGCACCACGCGGGACGGGTGGGCTCGCATGCCTATCCTTGGCTTCGTTTGGCTTCAAACCTGCATGCGTGCCACAGGAACCAATCGCGGGCCCGGATGACGCAGAGGCAAGTGCAAGGCAACTCATGACCGCAATTAAATGAGCTGCTGAGCTACCGCAAAAGACTGTTAAAGATCATGTTAGATCTTTTATCAACTCGTTTCCACCTTTGAAGGCCTTCGCCGCTGCAACCGGCCGTGACCGCATTTCGCCAGCCTCGTGATGGCGACATTTCACGGATGTAGATCGAACCCACTCGTTATTGATGCTAGACTCGAGGAGTTTGCCAGTACACACCTTTTGAAGGCAGCTTTTTTGGTCTGAAGCATATCACCGAGTGCCACGCAAAGGGCCATGAGGTGGACATTGAACTTCCTGGTAAAAATCGTGATCTGCATAAACATGCTTCATGCCACACTTCAGGACCGTGCCGTGCAGCAGAAGCCCGACAAAGAGAGAGAGGGTAGCCGTCATTACGAAGAAATAGTTCGGCCTCAGCTTCTTTGCGAAGCGGGGTTCATCACTCAAGCGAGTCAGGTTTCCAGCTTTTCAAGTCCGGGGATCCTCCAATCGGGCATGCTGCACCTGCATGGCCCCACAGGGCCTTGCATGCATCTCTTATCATGCAGCGCTCGGCGGTGTCAGGGCGTACAGTCGCTCCGAGGCTTGTAGATAATGTGTCAGGAATGCTCTCAAAGTGAGGGCTTTGCTTATGTCACGCCGCTTGTGACTTGCAAAGGATCAATGCAGTGAGCTCTACAAGTCCAGAGTGAAGCAGCTGACATGCGTGGTACATAGATGTATCCCAGCGAAGGCGAAGCAGGCAGCCGACAAGGCTGCTCCCGGCAACATCTTCAGCTCACCCAAGCGAGATGCCAAGGCCTTGAGTGGCTCCAGAGCCTCTCGTTGCATTCCGACACCTGCGATTGGGGTCCTCTCTCGTTGCACCGCGGCGCTGTGCCTTGCGCCCGCTGCGCCAGAAGCTGGCGGTGAAGAAGCAGCGCGAGCTGAAGAAGCTCCTCAAGGCCAGGCCGAAGTGTGGAAAAACACACAGCTGCTCCTTCTTACGTCGTCGGCTCTCCGGTCACCCCAGGTGGACAGGCGGGAAAACGAGGACATTGCGAGGAGCGACGTCCAAACGAGTTGCGCTGAGAGTGATGGAGATGTTGCAGTTGGCAGCGCCAGGAACCTGCAGGAAGCCACCAGGGCCAAGTCTTCAACGGAGACTCAGGCCTCCTCTCCGCTCTTGGCCTTCCCTTCTTTGGCGGATGTCCATCGCAGGCCAAAGAGGCCGCTTCCAAGCTCGCCAAGGCGGAGGCACGGAACGCATACGGCTCTTCTGGTTTTCCCCAGCCCCCTTGGCGGCTCCTGGCCTCTCTGGCAAGGCAGACTTGTCCGCCGAGAAGCAGTCCGAAGACGCTTTGCAGGCACTGGCTGTGTGCTGCTTTTTCCCAGCTCTACAGCTAGAGCTGCCATAAGAGAAGCTGGGGACCTGTGCTTCACTTCATGTGAACTGTGCAGAGGGGGCGCTCAACCAGCTGGAGCCGAAGTTGTTCTTCGGTTTGTTCTGATCGCCGAGCTCGTTCGGCCACCCTGGCCATGACGTTTTTGAAGCAAGTTTCCAGACTCGCTGGGCTTGCGCTATGGATTATGGCTTAGTAAAGAGAACAGAGTTGAACCTCTGGGACCCAGCCAGGGGCTAGATCAAGAGACGTCACTCTAAGACTCTACAGGTTCAGCACTCCAGAGGTTCAGCACGCATTTCCTGCGACGGAAGTATCTTGGCCTGTTGGATGTGGCTGCGAAGCCAAAGACTTTGGCCCAGGCAATGAGATAATTGTGTTCGGGAGTGCCTCTGCCTTCAGCGTCCGTCCCTTCGAAGATATCAATGCGCCGCCCTGCTGACTTTGAACACTGGCACGGTGCAAACGTTGACAATGCGTATTCCAGCATTTGTAGCTACATTGTTTCTGCACTACATGCAATCTGGGGAGGACGGAGGTGCCGCTGAGGAGAGGTTAGTTAGAGGCACACCCCAGGCTCATTCAAATCGATTGTGATAACCAGAAGTGCTGCAGGGGCTCGATGCCCTTGGCACCAAAAAGCACCAACTTTCAAAGATGGGATTCTCCGTGCTGGCTTCAAAAAAGGCTGCAAGGGAAAAGTCAGATACAGGTACGTAATGAGGAATGCCAGTGCTAACAGTTTGGCCAGCCTTAGCGGATTCTCAGACTCCGACCGATGCCAAACCGACTTTTTTCAATCCCGGTGCTTCCAGCACCGTGCGCATCGACCGGCGCTCCCACAAAAAAGCATCGGCCTTCCACTGTTGTGCGTTTGCGTCGTGATCGGGCGCACGCATGCGCTACACATAAGTTGCATCACCACGGTAGCATTTTGAGAGCCGAACAGCCCCGCAGTTCCTGCCAACCAGACTGGTGATGCTAGGTATGCGGCATGTGCATGAGGCTTCGTCCTTGAGACAGGTGATGATACTGTAGTGACCTGGTTCGCAGTCCTCGACCTTTCCGATGGCGGCCGAGCGCCTCGCCCGGCTGGAGTCCATCCGCCAGAAACTTGGGAGCTTTTCGGAGCTTGCAGAGAGCTCTGGGCTCTTTATGGGCACTCTGGGCTCTTGGCTCTGCGAGGCACCGGCCTGGCCGCGCTCCCGCGACGCGGCAGCGGGGCTCCGGCTCAGGAGGTCAGAGCCGAGAGAAGGCGGAGCGGTGCTTTGGCGAGTCTTGCCTTTGCAGGCCTTGTCCACACGCGAGCGGTTGGAGGCCATACAGCGACGCACGGCCGCACTCTGCTAATGTCTAAGCCGGAGGTGTGACTTCGGGCTTCGGAGTGAAGCTGACTAGTAGCCGGAAGTGTTATGTCGGGGCAGAGCCCAAGCCCTTCCGGCCAAGGGCGGCTCGGCCTGAGCCCTTCGGCTGAGCTTTACTCCGAGAAGGCCGCGCGCCCCGAGCCGAAGAGTCAGCTTTGGCATTGGAGCAGTCAGGTCGATGCCCCGTGGGCTCCTTCCCTCTACGATTCCTGGGAGCACCAGACCTTAAGATCCGAAGCCTGCGAGGCCTGGCTGGACCTCGTAGGAGCCAAGATTGACAGTTGCCGCCCCTTTTTTGCAGGGAGTGTCCCATCTTGCTGCGGGCCAGGACGTCCAGGCAAGAGGTACAACTTGTGCTGTCTTTTGCATTTCTGCTCGCGACTTCTGGGTGGAAGGAGGTCAGCTTGAAGGACCTAGGAACTCTGTTGCTGTAGAGGGTATCGCCATGTTAAGGGACTGGGAGGGATGCCACGGACTCAAAGCTCCAGATTCTAATGGCTCAGGACAGCCCCCGGCTTTGCACTTTTCCTTCATTTTGAGTACATCTTCTCCTCTGCGGCGGCTGAGTGGCAGGTTGTCGCGACGTCGGGTGCGGCCGAGGCCACAGAACCGAGGCCGTTGTGCAATCTGCGTGCTTTGATCTTCCAACTTCGCGCCGGTCTCTGCAAGGAGCCGCCGGCAGCCGGCGTCTCCTCTGCCTTCGCCGCCTTTGCCTCCGACCCCGCCAACTCCGCCAACTCCGAAAACTCCTCCGACTCCGCCTCTGGCTCCGGACGAGAGTGAGGACTGGCTTTGGAGCCTTGGGCAGATCTCGCCGCCCTCAGTGCCCTCAGAACCTTCGCGGACGTGTGCATCCCGTTCTGGAGATGCCGGCCATGCCGCATCCTGCTCTCACGCAGGGCCGTTCAGCCAGGCGAGGGCGAGAGGCCGGAGCCAGCTGAGCATGCGCGGCGAACGGCACAGGCACGAATCGGGGCGAGCTGAGCCACAATTTGAGAAGCCGACCGTTGAGGACCGTGACCGGGAGAACGTGGAGCCGAGCGGGCCAAGTGAGTTCCTGGACTTCGGAGGCGGTGAGACTTCGTGTGCCATGCCCGAGCCCGAGCCGTCCCGGACGGTGCCACAACGCAGACCGACCTCCAGCAGAGGCACGCGCATTCGCAGCCGCCCGAGCGCGTCGAGTGCGCCGAGCTCGCGGCCTCCATCTGCGCCTTCCTTTGTGCGGCCGTTCTCCGTCGAGGATGCGGAGTTCTGCCTCTCGGGACGAGGCGTGGGTGCCGGCAAGCAGCAAGCGAGGCCACCATCAGCTCAAGCATCGCGGGGACTCGGACCGCAGCGTAGCCGTGTGGCCAGCAACCCTGGAGCTTCCAAGCCCCTGCCCAGAGCAAATGGAAGATCGTCCGATAATGATCCAGATGGCCCCCGTGATGCTCAAGGCACTTGGCTACATTACCAGCCAAAGGATCGTAAACATGGATATTGGGACCTAGCCACGGCACCTTAGTTCGTCGCTTGTCTGGTGCCAAGGTGGAGCTCAAGCAGCTGGCCCTCGGTTGCGCTCTTGGAGGGATGGCGACCCCGTTCGAAGGCGATCTGCCCCCGCTCCTCTGAGCAAAGCACCGATGCAGGAACATCCTGAGCTTGGAACGGACGCCGAGCGGCAGAAAGCAAGAGAGACGAAAAGTTTTGTTCACGAAACAGCTTTTGCAGCTTTTACACGAAATGGCTGGTTGGGTAGAGCCATGGTTTGTCTTGCTGTAGCTACCTGCAGTTGTAGACTCAGGCTGCACCTTTTAATCTAATTGGCCATTGCCATAGATCTCTCCTGCCCTCCGCCCTGGGTCCGCACTGCCCTAAGCACTTGGGCGAGGGTTCTGGGGCCTGAGGATCTCTGGCAGTCCATGGAGCTGAAGGCACGGGTGAGGACCCCTATAGGCGACCGGAACTGCCCTGTCCGTCCACGGCTTTTAGGTGTTTCTGCGGCGTGCCGACCTGACGGAGTTGCTCGCTCCTCTGAGACTCTCTGCGACAGGAGTATGAGCCGACTCTGCAGCTGCTGAGAGTGCAGATTTCCTAAGCTCCCCCTATGTCTTGGCCGAGGAGAGGAATTCCCCGGCCTGAACTTGCAGTCCTTGCTGGAGATGCAGGAATCGCAGCTGAAGCAGATCGAGACGGCACCACAGGCCACTCTCAGGTTATGCTGAGCCAGATTGTGGTTCAGCCGCTGCAAAGATGACTGGGATCTTTTTTATATAGAAACGTCACAACCATCTCAGACCGCAGTACGGAAGTCATGGCTTTCGGAGGTGCGCCCGCTGGCTTTCAAGCGGCTCCTACGTAGCGTCGAGCTCGAGCGGCAGCGGCGAGGGACGTTCCTGCAGCAATCTGCCTTCGCCTTTCGGAGTGAGATAAGTCTGGTTGAAGGGCGGACATCGCGGAAGTTCAAGGCTCGACGCAAGGTAGAGGCAAGCTGCAGTGTGCTCAACATTTTGTACCAGCTCGAGGTTGGCGTCTTGAATCTAAGACGATGCTTGAGTGAGGGAGGCAGGGTGTGGGGTGTGGTTTCACGTGTGGGTATGCGAGCATGTTGAGGGCTTGAGGGACGAGGTCAGAGCTGCTTGAGCTCATTTGCTACGGTGGAAGGTCATGCTCAGACCCGGCTCTGGCTTAAAGCACCGAGGATGATGACGTCAGCGCGCCAATGCGCAGACCACCAGCTGTGTCTCTGGACGAGGGCGACGGCCAGCTGGAAGGTGAGGTTCGGGATGTCCAGAATGAACGAGGCCGAGAATCTGCCTCGCAGATGGTGGCCCGTATGCTCTCCACACCTACGCCCTCTAGGCCCTCGCTGGCACACGACGGCCATAGCCACAGCACGCAATGCCTTCCCGATGAATGCATTTGGGAGCCATCGGAGCCGCGGTCAGATCCGCCCGAAGAGCACCCCGTGACCGAAGACGCGGCACGGCTGCATTCCTGTCTTTCGTCTCCAAGTAGGAGAGCTGTGTTTGGGGATCGCACCGTGGGATGAACAATCCTTTGTTTCGTTTCCCTGGTTAACTACTCTTGTTTCTAAATTCGGTCTTGAGGCTCTCTATCCAGGTCACGTTTAAGGCAGCTGCCCCAACTCATTGCGTTGCTTGTTCGTAAATCAGGGAAAACCCAGCCTATATTCCTCCAAGTCTGCCAGGTCCCATGGGGTAGCTCGTGCTCCTCAACCTTCCCAAAACCGACTGTTTGGTCGCCGGGAGCCGACCTTGATATCGCACCTTCGACAGAACCGTGTCGTTCTTTTCGTTGATAAGAGTAGAGGCTGTAGAGGCCATTGTTCACTTAATTCCCGAGCGAATCCAGCTTAAAGTGTTGTAGTTGTGGCTGCCATGAGATTGCCGAGGCGGGAAACTGTTGTACGAACGCAGTCATGGAGCCTGCAGGGCCGTTTCCATCCCGTAGTAGCTCAAGCACGGCCGCAGCGGAAAATGCCAGCGAGCGAAGTCAGAAGGCATCGGGATCGACAGAGTCCTTTCACACGGAAGTCCTGCATGCTGTCATGAAGTCCTGCTTCCATCCTGACAACTACGAAGAACGCCCCCAATGTCCTGATCCACCTGTGGCTGCCGTGGAGCCTGCCGTGGAACCTGCCTTGGCAGTGGGTTTGGGTGTGGCAGAGCAAGAGTGCAGGAGGCCGCAGACAAGGCGGGCCAGGATCCGTGAGCTGCTGAAGCGACTTGACCTGGCCCAGTCTCCCTGCCTTGCCGATCGCCTGCGAGTGGATGCGCGACAGAAGCAGGCCAAAGAGAGACATCTCCGCCAATCCCAGGCGGGAGGAGCAGGTCCGGCCTCGGCCTCGTCGCCCTTGTCCTTCAGGAGATCTCGATCTTTCATGGAGCTACTGTCAGAGCCACACTCGAGCGCTCCCGGTGCTCGCAGCCCGGTTGATCCGAGTGTGCTGGACGACGTGGTGTCGAGACTTCCTGCAAAGCCCGTGATGTCTGCGCCCGAACTCGAGCCCTGCACGATCTGCTTGGAGGTGCCCACGGCAGGCCCGGGCCCCGGAAAGAAGCCTTTCGCCTTCCCCAGTCCCTCAAGTAGACTTCGCCAGGTGAGGTCCTGACCATGCTGCCCTGCTGCCATTGGTATCATCCAGAGTGCATCAAGGTGGCCTGCCTTCACTGTTTATGCTGTTTGATATTGCGCTTCTCAGACCCAGATGTGTCTCAGGAATGGCTGCTGCATTCGCGGTTGTGCCCCTTGTGCAAGGCACCTGTAATGCCGGAGGAGCTCGGCATGTAACCCCCCGATTTCTTCTTTCATGCTTCCGCATGTGTTCATGATTCTGCGATGGAGGTCCCAAACATGGGGAGTCTCTGTTGCTTGATAACGCCTTCTGGAACGGAGCTCTGTGCACAGCGAACAGAAGATTCTTGCCCACTATCAGGTCACTACTAAAAGCCCTTACATACAGTGGCCAGACTTCAAGATCTTGAAAGCGACATGTGCTGCCTCGCAGACGCTCCCCAGTGATATTCTTCTCTGTGCATGAACTTGGCAATCTTCTTGACATGTGACTGCATGGGCCATCTCCAAAAGTAGCGGCTTTGAATACGCTTCCCGTCGATGTTTTGCACAGGGGCTGGGACGACAATATTGCCTGTTTGCGAACGCGCAACCTAAGAAGAAAACCTCGGCCGTAACAGGGCTTTGTTTGATTTACTTCCCAATCCAGTCCGCACAGAGGGTCGAGACCCGATTCAATTAGGTCGACGTGCAGAATTGGAACCCGAGTCTAGTCCAGGGTTCTGCTGGCCTCGGCTGCCGGGGTTCATCAGCATGCTGTGACATTCTGAGACGTATCCTGGGCTGCTAGCTTGGGCCATGACTGAGCCTGGGACGTCATTGGGGTACCCACTGCCCATGCGTCTGAGCTCCCGGCTTCAGAAGTCATAGACTAGACTGGCCGCTTTCACGAAGTTCCAGCATGAGATTTTTCTGTGCCTCCGAGCTTATAAGAGCTCTAATAGAGTCGACCAATGACTGCCAGCCAAGCCCATTCCTCTTGGCGCACATGGGCTGAAGCTGATGCGCTGTTTTCACTTTTGCCATGCTTTTTGGCCAACCTCGCTGGCGAGCTCTCGAAGCTCACCCAAGGTCACGTTTCAGGCCAGATGCGGAGGAAGCATCGGGAGAGGATCCTGAGACGAGCTGTGCAGGACCAGGCCGATGTTCGAACTGAGCCCGAGAAGGAGCCAGATGAGGAGGAAGAGGACTTGGGGCCAGGACCTTTGAGAGCCGATGTGTGCAGCGTGAGGCGCCCGTCTCCGTGAAGGATCGGCTGCTGCAAAGATGCTTGGCAGCAACACCCTTCTCGAGCAACGGCTGCATCGGACCTGCGGGAATCCAAGGACTGACGCGAATGAACACGCAGGACCTGCTTCAAAAGGCACGGCACAGCAGCTCTCCGAGTCTCTGGAGCCAATGCACTGTATCTATCCACACTCTTGCGAGATACGCCGAAACATTAGCTCATTCTCGGCGCCTTGGCTGCCCAAGACACCCAGAAGGGGAAGATTGTGTGGCTTCAAGGGTCGAACAGTGAGCTTGTTCTCAGAGTATTGAGCCGACGACGGTACTGGTGCCGTGTTTCGCTGGCGACTGAGGGCTCTGTAAACATCAGTGATTTCAGCTTTGCAGTGATCGCAATGCTCCGTGAACCCCAAGACTATACATTACCTAAGGTCATCGACATCGAAGATCTGTCGTGGGACTGGGAAGACATCTCCACCGAGCCCGACATAGCCTTTGCAGTCATGGAGCTCCAAGAGCTGCCCGAACCAAAGCAGATCGCCGGCTGCTACTACCACTACTACTACTACTACTACTACTACTACTGCTGCTGCTGCTGCTGCTGCTGCTGCTGCTACTACTACTAGCCACCCCCCCCTACCAACCACCTGGCGCCTAAACCCACCATCATCATCACCACCAGCACCACCACCATTACCGCCATCATGATCATCATCATCATCATCATCGGTATTTGGACTACAACATCACGACGGTATTGTAAACACCGAGTAAAATGGACGTACTCTTAAGAAGTACGTCATCATCCCCCCCTCACCCTTCCCCCGCCCCACCCCCACCCTCAACAGCGGTGGTAAGTATTGGCCTACGGCATCACGAAAGTGCGGGAAATACCGAGTAAAATGGATGTGCGCTTAAACAGTGTTTAGGGAGGTAGTTGGTAGGGGGGCGCCTACTACTACTGCTACTACTGCTGCTGCTGCTGCTACTACTACTACTACTACTACTACTACTACGACTGCTACGACTACGACTAAGACCACAACTACTGCCGCTACTGCTGCTCCTACTCTTACTCCTACCCAATTCCTGACGACGACTACTACTTCGACAGCTACCACAACTATGACGACCACGACGACCACTACTACGACGACTGCTGTATGTTGCTGTAAAGTTTCGTTGGTGATGACCGAGCGGCTTGTGCATTGGCCCCGGTTGGCCTAACCGTGCCCTGTGATCAGGTTTGTCGCTGAATGGCAAGAAGCAGCTACTGACAAATTCTGGCAGCGCAAATCTCACAAGGTCCCAGCTGCACGACTGCGCACATTCAAGATGCACTGGTCGCGACGAGAGGTGGTGCTCGCTGTCGTTTGCTGTGCTAGAGATGATGGCTCCCTCGTTGCGATGCGTGGTATGAACACGGAGGCCGGCGTCGGTGCAACCCTGGGTTGCAGAGGGATGCTGTTTGGGCCGTTTCTACGAGTCTGCAGGTCAGCTTGCCCTCTGGCTCGCTCTGCGCAGAGCGAGCGGGCATTGCGCGAGCCGCGACGGAGTTTTTTCATGCCAACACGATCAAGGCATGGAGTTGTGCAGATGCAGAATGGGCACGGCCGGCAGGGGTCTTCATATTAAGTTCCCTGACAGGTCATCGCGGTCGTTGATCCGTCGGGTGACATCGCTCCACTTTGGCCCTGCGAGGATCTGACCGCGAATCGCCGCGGTCAGCATCGATTCGCACTGCGCCCTGCCGCAGGTGTGCCAAAGTTGGCTTTCCAAGCTCCGTGATCAGAGCCCGAGGACCTCGGATTTCCTTCAAAAAGGTTTTACGTTACGTTTGAAGTCAGACGATCATGGGCGCAGGATCACAGTGGTGGCTTTCCCCGCCAAGGAGAACGACTTTCAGCGCGTTGTAGTGCGCCGCAACGGCAAGGACGTACGGCCGCCCACGTTTGTCAGCGCGTGCCCGAAGCAGCAAATTTCGATTGGCACCTTTCGTTTCTTCCTGCAGTCCCATCGGTTCACATTCTGATTTCGGGCCAAGGCGCAGTAGTCTGAAGCAGGTGGTCGAGATTGCTGGATGACAGGAGTCGTAGCATGTCACAGCCATTGTGACTGAACAGAGGTGAATGCCAATGATGCATTGTGCCTGCGAGGTCGCTTTGTTTGTTTCAGGAACGGTAGAGCAGTTCCACAGCAGTGTGCCCGGTTAACTGGAACATTTGAACAACCATGTTTTGATGATCTCCACAAAGCTTTGGGGGTCGCTGTACAGAGATGCCGGCATTTAAAATCCAGGGTCGAATGCGAAACGGGAGGGGCTCAGGCGCCCAAGCGGTGCCGGCCTCTGCTTCGTCCAAGCGACTCCCCGGCCGTTCTGCTCGAGCTGCGGGTTTGGGCGAGGGGGCCTTCGGCTGGGCCGGAAGTGCCGCAAGCCGGGCGGCAAAGGCTTCATTCCTCTGTGATGGTGTTGTGTGGGTAGTTTTAAAGTCTGCATGGCTACAGCGACAAGAAAGGCTTGATGAAGAGATCCCTTCCACCGCCGCACGCCAAGGCCCATGGCTCCGCTGCCCGGGGTGCACCCAGGCCAGTCATGCGAAGGGCCAGTCAGGGAATGTGGCACGCAAAGTATGACATGCTTCCAAGTCCCGTACTCCCGAACTCCCCGTGTAGGCTCCCACATTTGATCATGATAAAGGTTTGAATCCGGACAGCATGATGATTTCGGTAGGGGCATCTCGCCAGAAGAAGCTGTTGAATGCCTTTTGATCGGGAGCGCGTTGGGGTCATTGCACGCGACTTTTGAAGAATGGTTGCCCCGAGCTGGTTCAGTGGCTAGGCGCCCTGCCGCGCAGCGAAGGTGCAAACCTCAGGGGGAGATGCGAAAACAGAAGTGCGATGCATGAAATCCACTCTGTGTGTATGTGTGTCTATGAGCGGCATCGACACAGATGCGAGGAGAGGATCCCGTGCTGTCAGCATTGCAGCGATATCGTGAAGCAGCAGGGAGCACCTTCCATCCTCTCAGTGAGGCGCGGGGTTCTCTTATTGTGGATTGCTGTTGCTGCTGTGTGCCCGCAGATGCCCGCAGGTGGAGGAACCAGACGACCAGGCCCCAGCGGCTCGCGGAAGATACGAGGAAGCCGAAAGCGAAAGCAAACGAAGCTGTCAGGCGCCCTTCGAGGACCTTGCACAGAGGTTCGCGGCCTTGGGGTCTTGGGGGCTCTCGAAATTGCGCCACCAAGAAAGCATTCGTAAGCAATCTGAGGGCCTAGCAAGTGCGGTTCCAGTCCAGTAGATATATGAGTCAGGGGCATCAGCACTCTGCAGCAGGTTTGCTGCGCGCTCCAGCCCGTCTGCAAGCTCCAGCAGCAGTCCGAAGGCAGTCCGCGTTGTGCAGATGGCATCAACTTGTTCATGTTGTGCCCAACTTGCGGACTTGTAAGTGGCCCTGGGGTACCATTGAATTTGTAAGTGCTAAGGCACTGCCGGCTCATGCCACTGAAACGGTGAAAGCTGGCACCCATGTGCTTCAGAAACTCTTGTGATATCGCCAGTGCCATCGTCCGCCTGTGCGCCCGTCCGAGTTCCACGGCCTGGAGGACTCGAGGGGGTTAACGGTTAACTGTTCGTGGTGCTGGGAGATGTTTGAAGATGCTCGCTAGAAGTTCAAGCAGAGGGGTGGAGCGTTGCAAACGTGGAATGTGTAGGAGGATGTCCGCAATGCAGCTGCAGCCTTAGTCGACAAGAACCTGCAGACGCTGTGGTGCAGAGCCTGCCTCTGTCGATTCGTTGAGTCCGTGCTGCGCTCGCAGGTCTGTGGTTTCGGAGCCTACGGCGACTTGCGCGACTTCTTGCCAACCTGGTTGAGCTGGACCGGCTGTGAGCCTTTGGGATGTGTCGCTTGGCGGGGCCCACGCCTTTCTCCGCAGGATGAGCCCATGGTTGGAGCCCGCAGCGCCGGGACCCAAGCCTTGGGCGACTCCGGGCTTTGGGGAAAAGTCTCGAGCCGAGGCCCGAGCTTTGCGGCCACGGTCCGAGCGGGCCGGGGGCCCCTAGGCCCTACTACCAGTAGCCTGAAGCAAAGCAGACGAGCTCAGAGCCCACAAAGTGAGGCAGTTTGCCGGCGCGAGCAGCATGCAGCGACCTCACTCAATGCACCGTTCCTCGCGAGTCTAAGTGTGGACCCCAAGACTCTTCTCAGGACACTGGCCGATAGTCCCAGATGCGCAAGCGAGGTTGGCTTCGCGATGCTTCGCGCATCGAGTTCACCCGTTTCCCCCTTCCCCTCACCCTCTCCACCACTCCTACCACACCCGCACCTAGCAGCTGGAAGAGCTCAAACCCCACTCTTTGTTTTGATAAGTCTCCTTCCCCGCGGTGGCAGGCAGAAGACAGCAGCACACCAGTGGTGGTTCCAGCTTCCTTCTCATCAGGCTGGCACCAGTCTTGAAGGAATCGGCATGTAAGGTCTCCACATCGCATCACGAATCCATGGAGTGCTCGCATTCAGCATGTTCAGGCATCAAGCAAGTCGGACTCCCCTCGCCACCAGTTTCACAGGCATCGTGCTCTTTCCAGAATGCAGCATGTGTAACCAGGCCATGGGAGCTTTAAGGACATGTCCGTCATTCACTTCAGACTTTCAAAGTGTTGGTTACGTTTGCTTTTCGCAACTTCCCCCAAACTGCGGAGGCCAAAGATGGGTTGAGTCGGCCACGTGTTCGCCGGGCCTTGGAGGCCTTAGCCATTCCCTGTGGTCTCTAACTCTAACTAAGTAGTGGAGCAAACGTAGGCAAGTGGCTCTTAGTGTCTCGTTTCGGTTCCTTAATCGTTACCACACCTTATGATTGAGATCGCAGGCCATTCGTGAGCTTCCCGATGGCTTGCGCCGGTGGCTCAGAAACTTCCGTCTGATCAAGGCTATGCAACAAAATCTGCAAGTGTCTGCATAACAAGGATCGAGTACATTTGACGACCTGGTGATTCCGGAGGAAGTAGAGCAAGTTGTACCTTAGCTGTCTGTCTGGGCAGTCTTCTTCACGTTTGTTTACAGCAGCCGGTATGCAATTCCAGGTGCTTGGGCCCCTGCCGGACTGTGCAGAAGAGGGGAGCGATACCAAGTTCCAGCACGGCAAAATCAACTCTTTCTCGCAACCCTTGCTTCCTGTTTGCCGAGGCTGGAGATCGGAGGCGTCTTCCTGGACTATTCGGAGGGCTGGGGCTTGGGCAAGGTCTGCCAAACCCTCAGCACCGTTAGCACAGGATGCTGCATCTCGTACCTTAGCCTATCTGAGGCCAAGGGCTTGTGGGAGACAAGACCGCCGCTCTCGTGGTCCAGTTACGCCGAGATCTTAGAGATGCCCAGCGACTGTCTTTCACACCACCAGGGTCCTGTGGCCCCTGGTCTATGCCCAGGCCTTCCAAAGCCTTTGAACAACGGGCAGATGCGACGGCTAGGTGCAGCGGGACAATCTGGATTAGCTTTTTTGGTGTAACATATTGTTTTTTGTTTTTCTTTGTCTGTGCATTTATGTTTATTTTGGTGGTCAGCTGGAGTCAGCTGACAGAAAAGTTCCGCACGCAGGGAACCGTGACGGAGTTTGTGGATCACTGCCAATGATATGCCCACATTTCTTGTCGACGCATTGGGAGACGTGCTCACACTGCAGTGCTGCTTGTGACAGGAAATGTGGTATCGTCATCTGTAATTTAATCTGTATACTCTTCAAAACAGGTTGGTACCCTGTTCCAGAAGGTGTCTTTGCAGTTCTCCTGGCAAGCAGATAGCCAGCGATGATGGCAGCCGCACGTTCACACGCTCCATGTTTAGATGTTGGAGCAAGGAACACCAGCTTCATGTCCACATGTTGGGTTGTTCAACCTGTACGTGACATGTTCTGGAGTTGTGAGAGTCTTCATGGTAAGCAACTCTCGGGTCCCTCATATATTCTACTGGTATGTTAATTTGTTGATGGCGCGGTTGACATGTTTGATTACATTGACATGAAGATTGGGGGGCATGGATCAGTGCTGATCAAAACTACCAGAACTCGCCGACAACACATGCTTCCAATGCATGTGTGTACTCATCTGTCGAATACGAGTTCGTCAACTGGTATCGTTCTTCCCGCGCAGACCTTACAATTGTTGTCTTTCCCGCTGGCAGCTCCATGCTACTGACATGCTGCATAATCTTCTGGCCCATGTCTCTACTCAACTGGTCTTCTTCGCAAGATGCTTGGGCTCA